AAAGTAATTCTAATGAAGAGACAAAGAAATAGAATTTACCTATCGGGTTTATTAAGACAGAATATGTCTATTGCAGAGTTCAGGACTTAGCAAGTGAATTGCCATTACTTCTGCAGTTTGAAGAAGTCTGACTCGTACACTTTTAGGAAGACTGCTTCGTATTCTATAGACGACTTTGAAGTTTGTTTGGGGTGTAGCTTGATGTCCGGAATCTATCAGATGTTCCAAGATAGAGCTGCGGGGCATCGTTTTCCTCTTTTGTAAAACCATGCTGGTAAGCGTTCGGTGACACGTTTGGTTAGCGAACGCTGGGTAAGAAATACCGGAAACCAGGTATCAATAAGTAATGCTTTCATCAGATGAACTCATTCTCAGTAAATTTCTGAAAGAAATTTACAATATGAAATTGAACTAGGGGAACAACGGTAGATCAATCGTTTAAAATATGGGGACAGTGATTTTTATTGGAAAAATGTTTTGGATACCATGTGATTTGAGGATTGCGAAATACACGGAAACTTAAGGGTTATATGATTTGGGTTTCAGTATTTCTCCAACCGATTTTTCTCTTACACGACAGATGCCGTTGAATGAACCAGGCTCTTAGGAAGAAATACATGAACTGATAAAGGAAACAGGCGTCGGTGGCATAGCGGTTAAGATGCTCGCCGACCATGCACATGGTCCGGGGTTCGAACCCCGGCCGACGCACTCCTTTGCCTCGCTAAACCAGAAATAATGCTGGTGAAGAGGAAAGGTTGGGCATGAGGTTAGCAACCCCATCCTGTAAAATAAACACTGCTACAGAAACTTCAAGCTAGTGGCTTGAAGCCCTATGTTCCACTGTGGAACGTGAAGGATAAAAAAAATATAAGAAAGAAGTGAAATTTGTAATAACTGAGATTTCTCATGTACCATGTTGCGAGTCATATTTATTGTGTGAAGACTGATGATTCTAACCAGTTATCCGGGCTGATGTAAGTGGAGCAGAAATGAAACTCGAGATGGATTGGCTGATAGTTGTGAACACAAACTAATGATTAGCAGGTATTCATTCACCAGACAACTATTTAGGCTTATCAGGGAAACAGGTGGTAGAAGGTAAATGATAATTGAAACAATCTCTGAGAAAAATGGCACCATAATTAGCTCCCAGGATAGACGACTGGAACGTTGGAAGGAACACTATGAGGAGCAGTTTAATTGGCCTACAGCCACGCTTAACCTGCCGAACATCCAACACCTCCCTGAATGGGATATGGACACAGGTCCCGCGTCCTTAACTGAGGTTACTAAAGCTGTCACTAGTCTGAAACAAGACAAAGCAGCAGGACCTGATGGAATGACTCCAGAGGTATTTAAGTACGGTGGAGACAGTTTACTGTCTGCGTTAACTGAGGTACTAGGCAGCGTCTGGGAATCAGAGGAAGTCCCGTCGGGTTGGTGTAAGTCACTGATTATCCCCATATACAAGAAGGGAGACAAGTCTTCCTGTGATAATCACAGAGGGATTAGCTTGACTAATATAGTATCTAAAGTCCTAGGCTCAATAATATTGTGTGGACTAAGTTGTGCTCGGGAGGCACGAACACGAGAGAACCAGGCAGGCTTTAGACCAGGAAGAGGGTGTATTGGTCATATCTTCACCCTTTGACATATTCCAGAACATAGGTATACTTACCGGAGTCCAATAATCGTCATATTTCTTGACCTGAAAGCGGCATTTGATTCCGTCTACCGAGACGTACTCTGACGATGCTTGGCTGTAGACGGAATGCCGAGAAAATACATTGCACTGATCAAAGCAGTCTACTCGAACTCATGCAGCCACGTAAAAGTTAAAGGAGATTTGTCATCTGCAGTGGTGACAACTAGTGGTGTCCGTCAGGGATACCCACTATCCCCATTTCTATTCAATTTCATCATAGATGTACTAATGGACTCAACCTTAACTCACTTCAGAGACTCAGGGATTGACTTGCTACCATGGAATAATCTCGTTGACTTAGAATATGCAGACGATATAGTCCTTCTAGGCGAGGACTCTGACAAAATACAGAGTCTTCTGAACACCTTGAGGAGCAGCAATCTTCGAATGTTCGGTATGCCATTCGATCGTGTCAGATGCAAGATGATGCTACAGGACTGGACTACATTGACTCCTGGCTTTAAGATAGGGAGTGAGTGAAACTGTTGGTGGGGAATATTGACCACTTCACTTAATTGGGAAGTTGTATCATCCTACAGCACTGGGTTGGTCGCTGATGAAATCTTAGCTCGATGCAGAAGGCTTGTTTGACATATACCAACTTACGCCATCTCTGGCGTAGACGTGATATCCGGCTGTCGACCAAAGGGTGTATGTACTGCTCAGCAGTCCACTACATCCTCCTTCATGACTGTGAGAACTGGCCATCGAAGGTGGAAGACACGAAAACCCTGGGTAGCTATCTTTATTCATAGGTGCCTGTTTTCTATCTCCCGTGTGAAGTGGTATAATAGGGTGAGCTTGGTAAGGAGAGGAAATTAATAGACGAGTCTGTGAAGGTACATTGATTGAGATGGTTAGGACATTTGTTATTCGTGTTTAGCTGTCGCCTTCCTTGATGAGTAATCTTAGCTGACATAGGATGGATCACATTGGAAAAGAGCTAGTGGTGGTCAAACCAAAACATGGCTTGATCAATCAATAAAATCCACAACAGTTAGTTTAAGCCAGTCAAGTAGGGAGGTGTAAACTGTCAGTCTTGTTGGGTGGTAAAAACCAATGAAGGCTGGAGACAATTGGTGGTATTGCTGGAAATCGTTGTCAATGGCTGGCGCATATTCATTCAATCTTTGTGATCAATGATATCCAATAAAATTGTATTGTTCTTCCATATCAATATCCTTTTTGCCTCATATTTCTGTTTATTATGACTCTTTTGAATCTCTCTTTCTCTGCTCACTTCTCTTCCTTTGTGTGCTACATGCAGGGAGAGCGGTAACTGGAAGTTCTGCACATATGTAAAGAGTTCCTCGTTGAAACCACTCAATCAGTCATTAATAGAAACGTATAGGAAATTAAATTTAAATTGCTGCCTTCAAGAGCCTAGACTGTGCAAGTGGTATGAATACTGGAAGTGCCAATAATATTTTGATCGACTTCATTCCAATGGAAGGATGTCAGTGGAGCACAATAATTTGTTCAACAGACACTCATTTTTCACTTTAGAATCTTCATTTACTCTTCAAACACTAAGATAATCCCCATTTGTTACGAGTTAATCAGGAAACATACACTTTGTATTAGGAATCCACATAATCTTTGATGTTTGTTAGTGGTGTGCATAAGTACTCTGTACAACAAATCCACCTTGTTCATCATCCAGATAGATTATCGGCACCTTATTATTGTTCTGTTCTCTTCAATAAAACTACCTACAGCCAAACGGAAACGTCTGTCTAGTCTAACAAATCAGTTCTTACTGAAAATGCACCGAGCAGCGTTATATCCATGGATTTCTTTTCGTTTTGTTGTAGTAGACTTAGTATGAGTAGATTGACTGATGTGCACTGATAGGCATATTAGAAATAACACTCGGAGTATCTGACATTAGGGAATAAATTGTTTTTCAATCTAGAAATAAAATTTATAAAATCAGATTACAAGAGAAAATGTGTAAACTTTAAAATATTCAGACTTTGGCTAGCAGCAGACAGAAGATGGAAACAAATTTGTTCATGGAGCAATGTAGAATTTCGCAGACCAACACAATGTTTCATGTTTTTTCCTCTTTACAATACCAGACAGAGTCAAAAGAAAACGAAAATGTTAAACGTGTAAATAACCTAATCAGTGTTCAACAGTATCGTAGCAGGTATATGCGCAGAAGCTGATAGATGGAATTACAATCACAGGTAATACGTAGATCTCAAAGATTATGAAGAATCCAAATCTAGTACATTTACAGTTTACAACAAGGCGGAAAGAGAATAGGATTGTACAATAGTATTGTAACAACAGAAGACAAGGGCCAGGCAACAGATCCTTTAATAAGGAAGATCAACACATATTTATACATTTTAATGTACATTATTGTAGATTATTGTTAGTAGAAAATACAGTCTTTTGATTGGTTGTTTCTCACAGAAAGTTAACCTTGCATCTCTTTGTGGCTGTGTCAGATCATCCATATGCTAACTGTATCCGCCTACGCAAAGCCTTTGTTCTCATTTTCTCACCACCAATATTGGGGACATAAACATTGACGTCAATTACTGTCTACCAACTTTGGCTAGCAGCCAGCTCTCACCACAGTATCAGTAGCTGATAGCAGTACGATGCAATGAGTAAAAACACGCTACACTGAAAAATTCCTGCTCGGTAACTGGTGAATTATAAGTTTTAGGCGTAGTCGTATATTTGCAAGGTTAGTAATTACTCAAAAATCTTTTTTCGTAAGGCGTATTAAAGCCCATCATAACCTATAGTCACTCGACATTCTGGTAATGATAAATAAGACTGAAATTATTATTTAAAATTCGACGAAGATATGAGAACTTAGACTACTCTCTCTTTGCTTAACAATTAGCAAAAAGGTGTGGAAATAACACAACACAGAAAGTTTTTGTTGACTATATACATATATTCATAATCAAAAAATGTAGAATGACAGTAGAATAAAAGTAAAGTGTACAAAGGAAAGCTGGTGATTGATAACAGAAAGACTTATTTGATAGAAAGATCTATACAACTACAATTGACTCAAAAAAACAGACATTATATGGATAAATTTGTAACAAAGTAAAAACAAAAATTAATTGAAAAGCATTGATTGATTCAATGGAAACATAATGTAAAACAAGCAACAAAGGTTAATAAAGCAGGATTTAATGAATTCATCAAATTTCACGTAATCTGTCAATGTTTCCATACACTCAAGTAAAAACATTCGATAAAAAAATTAACAAAAATAAAACACAATCACACAAAACAAACTGAAAGTTTTTTCAGCAATTTACAAATACGCTTGCCAACCGAAATACATTCGTGATAAATTTGAATGATCTGTAGCTGCGCGAACTAGTAGACCGACATGTCCAGCAACATCGAGTTGATCAAGTCCACCACGAGTACCACTATCACCACCACCACCACCACAATTACCTGAAGTTTCATTTGAATTAGTAACTAAATTTCCATTGACAAAGCCTTGAAGTTTACTTCTGACTCCTAGTAGAACACGTTCAGCAAGTTGATTAACTGGTTCTACAATAATAATAGTAATAATAATAATAACCATAACGAAAATAAGAACAAGAGAAAAATTATAGTGGACATTCAGTTAAAATTTTAAAGTTTATGATAATTAAATAATTTCAGTTATCTTAGGTATATGGATTCAATGTGAAGAAACAGGCTGATATCATATTCATAAGGATTGATTATTGAAAGAGCTTCATTTAAATTTAAATCAGTAAAACGTCGAAAATGACTAGTCAGCGAAATAACATTATCGATAAAGTCCCACCTAGAGGATCACAAACATCATTTGGACTTAATGACATCATCAATGTAGAGAAAAGTCATTGCAATGTAGTATGCACTGAAGGATGTGAGTAACACGTGTATGCGTGGGTGTGGACCAGTATAAACATGCGTGCATTTGTGTGTGCTTATTTGCATGCCGCATTTCACTGAGTATCTACGAGCAGATTCAGTATAAGATACTGGAAAAAAAGGAGATTGAAATGAACTAACGGCTGGTAAGTAGTGTAGTAGAAAATATCCCAAACAATGCAATAATACAACATTCGATTTCTATATTTTAAAGGCAGCAAAGGAAGCTTAAATTGTACACATACAAATCGATGAAACAATTCATTGACAGAAAGATTATTATTATTATTTCCTTTAATTCCTAGAGGAACATAGGGCTTCAGCCGTGCGTCTCCATTGCGTTCGGTTCCCTGCTAGAGTCTTCACCTGGCTCCAAGTCTGCCCACACGTTTTCATCTCCTCTTCACATGACCTCCTCCGAGTCACCCTTGCACTGACGACCAACTCGCCGCTTCCCTTTCGAGTTCCACTCGAGCAATGGCTTGTCTAGTGATGTCACTTGATGGTTTCTTTGCTCAGAGTATGGCCAATCCATCTCCATTTCTTCCTGCCTATTTGTTTCACAATTGGTTCCTGGTTGGTTCGCTCCCAAAGATCCCTGTTGCTGATCTTTTCTGGCCGGCCATCTGATCTTGAGTATTGAGCGAAGACAACTGTAAATGAAGGTCTGTAGTTTGTTTGAGATGCTCTTTATGATGCGCAGTGCAAGTCTCTGATCTGTATAGTAGCACTGACTTCACATTGGAGTTGAAAATCCGGATCTTATTTTTGATGCTGAGTGCTGTTGACCTCCACAAAGAAAGAAGCTTTTTTCAAAGCACTTACACTTATATTACTTATGATTAATATATATAAAAGTCTAGTACAGCATAATTCTACGTTAGTTTTTGTTTACTTGATGTAGTCTCACAGTGATACAATGTCACTTACTGGATGATGTTTCAAGCACAAAATGTTTGATGTGATTCAAGAGCAATAAATTCTGCTCGAAACATCATCCAGTAAATAATATTATAAATATGACCTGAATAAGAATAAAATACCAAAAACAGTTTAAATGCTAATCTGTCAACGTTAGCTATACAACTAAGTAATGCCGAAGAGTGCCATACACGGACGAAGCAGCCGTCCAATACTTTCCACTTTCCGATAGTTTTCTAAATAATTTTGGTTCGTGATAGTCGAACTTCTACAATCCAACAGTTAAAAAGCTTTGTCTCCTCTACTGTCGTATCCTGTCATATCATATCGGTTGTGATTCAATGTACCGTGTTCAAAAGACTTATTGTAGTAAAATTGATACAATTATATTCGTTTTTCGAAACACGCTGTGATATCATTACAACAGCCATTGCAACCTAAAGTGTATAGTCTGAATTTCAGGCAAACTAATTATTTTGGTTATTTGATATATATTCATACAGAGAGAGAGAGGGGAGTAAAAAAAAATCCATTAAAATAATGGCCAATTAGCCTTTTTTTTCTTTTCACCCTTGAAATATTCTGTGTATACTTCAGTTTATCATCATTGGGTAGAGTTTCACATTGGAGTAGGGATAAGTGATTTCCAACATTTCAAACTTTTGATGCTTAAAAGAAAATGATCTAACTCGTTACTCACATATGGATGAATAAAATGCAATTCATACAATCAGTCATCAACTATGTAATTTTCTGACTGATACACGTTTCTCTAATAACTTATTCACTAGTCATTGGATAACCAATGATGAAAGATAATTAGTTTGAAAATCATCTAAAATTTGTGCGAAAATTTTCGGACTAAAATGAATTGAGACTGAATGTTGATTGGACTTTTTTTTATTACAGCTTGATTCCACACCGTATTTTTTGTACAGGTATGGAATTTTCAGCATGGATATCGGTAGCCCAAATTTCGCAGGCCGACCATAGATATCAGGTGTGCGCCGGCAGGGGATCGAACCCCGGACCATGTGCATGGTCGGCGAGAGTCCTAACCACTGTGCCACCGACGCAGTAAAGCGGACAGTTTAGTACATAGTTGTGATGAGATGATGACATACGCTTTCCGCATACATCTTAAAATCAGTTATCGTTTCACACTAAAAATCGAAATCACCTTATAGAAATGACTCCCCAAAACAATAGGACTTAACCTTAATGAAGTCCTACACATCTGACATATCTCTCAATTAACAATCCACATAAATTTTCATTAGCTGATCAAGCATTAGCTTCCATTTTGACAAAGGTTAAGATTATCTGACAGTACCCTTTAGGTGCATCTGTGGTTTAGCGGTAAGACACTCCCGAGTTCCAATCTCTGTCGGCGCACACTTTACCTCCCTTAGTTGGCTGTAGTCCTGATAAAGAGGGAAGGTTGGGCGTAAGGCCAGCAACCCCACCCCGTAAAAGAAAACACTATTACTGAAACTTCAAAGCTCTAGCTTGAAGCCCTATGTTCCACTTGGAGTGCAAAGGAATAAAATAAATAATAATAACACTTTGTTAGATGAGTAATAATATTGCACTGGTTACTCTACACTGATCGATCAAGATGAAGTATATAGTTGCGCTTGTTTTCTTTCACGTTCCCAGTGGAACATAGGGCCTCAAGCTAGTGGCTTGAAGTTTCTGTAGCAGTGTTTAATTTTTACAGGATGGAGTTGCTAGCCTCATGCCCAACCTTTCCTCTTTACCAGCATTATTTTTGGCTTAGCAAGGTAAAGGAGTGCGTCGGCCGGGGATCGAACCTCGGACCACGTGCATGGTCGGCGAGCGTCCTAACCGCTATGCCACCGACGCACACATTGTTGCGCTTGAATACAAGATAAAGACTTATGATGTTTATGATCACTCCTACATACTAGGAGGAAACTATGCTTTTTTCTCCCAATGAAAATGGGGAAAAATTCTACAGATTTTTACAATTAAGCAATGCAAATCACATAAACACTCCACAAGACGTGTTCAACAAATGATGTTTTACAATAATTTCACCAAGCAGGTGGAAATAATACAGCTAAGATTTCAACCCAGTACACGAATGGTAACGTGTTTACATAGTAACCCGATGGTCTTGTATTCCATCCTTTGTGGGGTTGTGGATGGGCAACTGTTGAAGAGACCTGAAATTGGATGAAACAACTATCCAGCAACCCTTGATTCCCTTAACAATATCAGTTTGTGACTCAATCTACCTTGAAAATATCCAACTATGCATAAATTCTCCTAGCTTGAACAAGATATTTGAAAAAAGTCACAAAAACAAACATCGCTTTTCACTACCTCCTATAGTGACCGCATCAGTGGTCGCCTGACAGTGATTACTAGGGAAGATGGAATTATTTTCAGTTGATCGTGTGTTTATTTTAGAATTCACTTTCTTTATAGATTTCGTTTTATTAGTACATTGTTCTTCTGAAAGCAAAAACGATTTTGACTTGTCCAATGAACGATCGGTTTCAGCAGCACGTTTGCTTTCTATTGCGTATATTTGAGCAGGCGTTAACGACCATGAATACAAGGGATCATAGAGAAGAACCTGGGAAAATGAAATGAGATTATGATATATATATGTGTGAAGATAACGCGTAAATTCAACCAAAACACGGATTAATTTTCCCCACAAAAATAAATCAACTATTTTTATCAAATGAGTGATGACATTTTATACTAACTAATTCTTAGTTATACTATTTTCTGACACAGACACAAATAACAACCTTAGCACATTTTCTTCTTCAGTATCAATTAACAGACAAATCTGGCATCTCTCAAGTATATCAATTAAACATCAAGTCTTTTGATGCGGTTGTGTTCTCTGAGCTGGATAGTTAATTTGCGAAGATTTCATCGGCCTACTAGGTGACATCTTCAACGCATACTTCATGATATGATATCACTACATACAGACAACCACGGACATCAATTCGACTGGGACAACGTTCAAATATTTGACAGAGGAAACAACAAGAATGCTAGAGACCTGGTATTCCAGTGAATCATCAATCAATACACACATAGAGATAGACAAAATTTATCAACCGATAAGAAAGAAACCTCACACACAAAGGGTCAAAGTTCAAGTCAAAGAAACAATCAGTTCCAATACAAGTAGCCTAGAAGGTGTGAAAACACACAAAAACAACCAATCACGGCCAAGGTCACCAGGAGAGACGAATAATAAACTCGTGGAGAAATCTAAAAGCCCACTTCAAATTGAAGTATGCGCTGAAGATGTCGCCTAATTGGGAGATGAAAGCTTCGCAAATTAACTATCCAGCTCAGAGAACACAACCAAATCAAAATCATCCACCTGAGCTACAAATCTTCTCCATCACATCTAAACATCAAGTCAAATGAAACACTGCAATCATAATGAACGACTACATACCTCGATATTATATGCAACATCTTCACCCAGTCAGGGCTAATCAACTAGTTAGCATTATATTCGGATGCGATCCACCACAAAGAACTGTGGCATTTAGACAATATAAGTATAATTATTTCTTACTTGAAAAAGCTGATGATAGGACAAAATTGCCTAAACAATCTATGCGTCAATTACACACTTTGATGTTTTGATTTTTACAGGGGTTTGTGGCAAGAAGGTATAGGTTACAGTTTGAAATGAGAGGCTAGTAAGAAATCTTATTTATATTTCAGTGGAGGTATATAAGTACTTAGTTCTGTAAAATGGAGGTTGATTGGCCATACTCTGAGAAAACTATCAAGTAACTTCACATGCCAGGCTCTCGAGTGGAACCCGAATGGGAAGCGGAGAGTTGGTCGTCAGTGCGAGGGTGACATGGAGGAGGTCATGCGAAGAGGAGATGCAAGCATGTGGGCAGACGTGGAGCCACGTGAAAACGTTGGCGGAGAACCGAACGCAATGGAGACGTGCGGCTGAAGCCCTATATTTCTCTAGGAACTAAAGGAGACAATAATATAATAATAAGTGATTTGTAAGATCAGCCTATCAATAAAACAGAATAACATAAAAATTAAACTGTTCATAATGAAATAATAAAACGCCTTTCGGTACTTCATTCGAAAGCATACAATCACACCACTATATCTGTATCTTCATTTAGCAGAGGTTTCAATGGAAATTACTTTTCGAAAAATGATTAAAAACAATAAACTTCCTTACCTGTAACAAAGTCAGAATAACATCGGATCCTTCACGGAGTTCTCTTAGTACAGCTTCAGCAGCTGGGATAAATCCTGCTTGTAAACCTAACGGACCTAAGGCATGGACAAGATCACGTGAGAGGCGGAAAGGAACCATTTCAGGAGTTGGTAGAAGTCGGCCCTAAGGAGAATTTAACAAAATAATACAATCCACTAACAAAAATGTTCAAATCAACAGTAAGGATAGAGTCAAAATTTAATACAACTAATGTTAAAGTATTGGCGCAAGAGGCAGTTACACAGAGATACCCTCAAAATTTTAAGCTACTTATATACTTAAATGAAATGAATATTTATAAACAGAATTTAAATGCCGTCGACTACAGACAAATTAACTTATCAGTGATATGCCAATTCGCACAATTGATCTTTTATTTCAAAAGCATGTAAGTAGTGAAAGTACAAAGGTCAAAGAAACCACATTACGTTGTGTTAACCCTCCACATTCAGTCGTAACACACATTCACTTCATCATTCAAAATTTAAAGAAGTGGCTTGAGAACACTATCTGATAATCTGAATTTTAGCCTACATTAAATACATTGGGAAGACAGTTGATGGATGTATGAAAATTTGCGGCAGAGTTGGCTAATCGATGTGTTACGTTTACTAATCGAAGATCTTCATCGACAAACAATTTTAGGTAAAAAAAACTTTAGATTGGAAAGATGAGGTGTTAATCCATGGGATTTCTGACAGTTATCTTGAGCTATAAGGAAAATGCTAGACTGTTTAATTGGTCTGCAATAAAATTGAATCTGACAATGAGGGAATCTAACTGATACGACGCAAACTTGACTGGTATGCCTTAAATTCAGACAGATGATCATACCAACATATCTACATCTCACCTCAATTCACACCTGTTCTTATAGTGTTTTATAATAGCTGAAATCAGGATTCCATTTCTTTATCTTTCAGTAAATTCTATCCTCATGTGAAACATAGTTACTCGTGCCAGTGTGTAGTTTATGTTATGTTACATCTTAAGTTGTTGAAGCCTGTCTGTCACATTCATTACAACAAATAAAGCCAATAATGTTGAATAACAAAGTTCAAAAAGCTTCAGAATATACATAAACATTATGATATCTCACTTAAACTCAGACAGAATGAAGGAATATCAGTTAACAACACAGTAGCACAGTCAAATAAGTGACAAACGTCCATTCAATTTAACAGAATACATCAGAAAAAAAGCAGCAGAAAGTTCTGGACTGCAATTACATGGAGAAAAGCACTAATGAAATTCCATTTGACAAGATAACCATTTTAATATGACGAATTGAGGAGATACAAAGCAATAAAATCTGTGTTATGTCATTATGAAAGGCTGAAAACAACGAAAAATATGTTCGCCAAACTATCGACTTATCTTTACATCTCACTGGTTGTCGTTATTGCTGCAAATACTTTTACTTCCAAGTGAAACATAAAGCTTTAGCAGCATCTTATAACCTTTAAGACTTCAGCTTTCATAGGAGGGCTGATGTTCGCTAGTAGTTCTGCGTCTACTGGTGTTTCTTGACGAGTAGTGGATGGTGGTCGATTCACGAGTACTTTGACGTAGTAACCAAACGTATCCGCCCTTCCACCACTTTGGTAATCCAATTTCCTTCACTGGTTTCAACCGCTGCATGTCATTTAGTATAGCATTTAGTAGCCAGGGTGTCGTAGAAGCGTCTTTGTCTTATTTAGCACTCCCATTCTCATTCGCAAAGGGTCAGTCCTTGTTCTACCTCTTTTTTCTTCCTAAGAAATCTATACAAGTTTCCTTCAACATAACTTTCAGACGGTTTCAATGTTCTTCCACACAGATTTCTTCGACAAAGTTTCGTAATGTCACCACCTTCTTCTTAAAAGACTGCAGAAAAGCTGTCCTTTGTAACTTCATCCTTCGCTTTCTGAGAGTTGAACTTGAATTGTCGTCCACCTTCTGACTGTAGGATGGTCTTCGACTTGACCTCGAAGTGAACTCGATAGTGATAAGACCTTAATTCCACTGATTTTCTTGATTTCGTGTCCAGAAAGTTGTGTGCTTACCTTTTTATATTGAGGCGAAGTCTATCTCGTTTTTAGTGTACCAACCTAGTAAAACTCACATGCTTCGTGCTTGTAGACAACAACTCTAACCACCATATTGCTGAAGGAGCAGAAGTCTGCAAAGAGTTCTCATTCATGCTGTCAAGCACCTCTAAGCCTATGAGTTCTCTTCCTTTATTGTCTACTTCCAGTTTGGAATTCATATTACCTATCGGAATCTTGATGTCATCATCTGACTGCTTTTTTAAGAGAAACACTCCTGTTTCTCTAAGCATGAGTTGTTTGTAGGAGCCTTACATTGTATCAACCCAAAATTTCTTTCTTCCACAGTTGGATCTGGAGATTCTGCAGATGATCAGTTCATGCTCAAACTTCCCTATTTGCTGGGCTTACGACCGGTTAGTGAACTAGGCAAGGTTCGAGTGGTCAATGTTTTCATTTAATATTTCAGAGTTATTTTAAGCTGATGAAAACGGCATAGACAGTAAAAAGATTAAGACTAGAGTGAATGTGTAAAGTGAACAAACAGAAGATAGAGACACATAATTATTAGTGAGATTTACAAATTGTAAAAAAAAACTATAAACCTACTTGATCAAAGGCTACACCAAGATCAATATGCACAAGTTCACCAGAAGACTTGTGGAGTAACAGATTATGCGGATGTCTGTCACCTAATCCAACAAGATAACCAACCATGCTAGTTACAGCAAGGGATCTGATGTAAGCCATGCGAGACTTAAACCAGTCTTGTGGACTAGGAAATTGTTCCAAAAAGAAATAAGCAAGTACTGGCCTATTGATAAAGAGAAAATAAAGTATATTGCATTATGAAGATTATACTCAAAGGAAAAGAAGTTTGACGATATAGAAGTTGTACATTTATTTATCCTCGTGACAAGTATCTCAGTGACAACAGAAGTGTTGATTAGTAATAAGTTCCTAAAACAGGCCTGTCCAGGTCTTAAACTCTACTTCAAGTTACTATCAATACTGTTGGTAATCACAGGACTGTAGTTAATAAGATTAGTGGGGTAAGACGTAATGTTTAGGATAACAAAATACCAGGTATGTTGAGAAAATCATAAACTTTACAATGATCCCAGAGATTCTTTCCAGTGTTGTCATCTTCTCGCGTCATTTCTTCACTAACCGAAAAAAGTTACTCATGAGTAGCACACACGATACCCAACCCTCTGACAGCACGTCGTGGTCCGCAACAACACGTCAAACCACCGCCCCAAGTGAGCAATAGGTCCGTCTAGTATCTAGAATATATCTAGTAATTGCATTGATGAAATACTTATAGTCCTTTCGACATAGATGCTTTCAAATCGAAGGAAGGCCATTCTCTCTCTCTCCCTCCAATGCAATTGTTACCACAGGACAGTCTGCTAGATCTTTCAACCACTTGGAATACATGCTTCAGGTGATTTAAAACGGTAATGTACATATGCTACAGTGAGTTATTTCGATCAATAAGAAACTCAGGTGTGTTTGTTCAAGACAGGTTCTATTTTCAAAGAGGTAGTTGCTTCATCTCTGCCTCGGGTAACAACGACATTCTTGTATGTCTAATTGATAATGTATGTGAGTCGTTCAAACCACTGACATAATCGTAAATATATCAGTAACGTCGTATAATACAATGATTTTGACGTGGACTAGTATTTTAATCACATAGGTATGCTGCTTTCAAGCGACGAGTTGTCTGTCTGTCTGCCTGGATTCAGCATAGAACTTGGCACCGAAGTGCAGCAGTTCGAGTTGCCACGTTCCAAATAGCACACAAAGGTAGACAAGAAAATGAGTGAAGAGAATCAATAGAGTTTTGACAAGTATAAGAGTGAAACATAATGAGTAATGGTAGAAAGGAATATGAAAGATTACAGAGACTGAATTCATCTGCGCCATTGACAACAATTTTGAGCCATGTCACCTATTTTCTCCAGCCATTGATTCCTAGAGTCCCGAGGGCCCCAACCCGGAAGTCTGCATCTCCCTACCTGACTCAGTTTAACTGTCAGGGATTTCATGGATTGATGCCATGTTTTTGTTCGGCCACCACTTACTCTTTTCCAACCTGCACCTACATCAGCTAGTAATGCCCGTCGGGAGGGGGAGGCGATGGTTAGGCATGCGCAGCACGTGACCAAGCTATCTCAATCTATGTAACTTTATAGCCTCTTCGATTGATTTTCCCTCTTTGCCCAACACTCTACGCCAAACGTCAACATTACTTACCTTATTATACCACCTAACGTGAGAAAGAGATCGTAGACATCTATGATCAAAAACAGTCAACCTTTTCATGTCTTCAACTGGTACTGGCCATGTTTCAGAGCCAAAGAGAAGGACGGAGCGAATTGCTGAGCAGTACATACGTCCCCTGGTTGACAGTCGGATGTCACACCTACGCCCGAGATGGTATAAGTTAGCGAAAGTAGCTCGAACTTTTTGGATCCATGCTGAGATTTCGTCACCAATCAATCCGTTGGTGCTGATACAATTTCCCAAATAGGTGAAGTGGTCAACATGTTATATCACTTCACTCCCTATCACTAAGCTAGGGATAGACGTAGTCCAGTCCTGTAGAGCGGCGAGTTGTGGAGTTGTTATTAAATGGACTCCAAAATGGTACCGACCATTTGGTTAACTTGTGACAAAATAAACTCGTCAGTGACATGACTGGTTAAAAAGATATGTTGGAATTGGTAATTATGATTAAACAATACCTAAACAGAAGGCGAACATTGTTAAATTTCAGTTGATTATACAATTGATTACAAATTAGTCACTAATATTGCATTTGGTCGCTGAGAATTATCGACACTTTATACACACAAAAGTTTCCGTTCACTTAAAACTGGAAACTATCCTCATTACCCATATATATATATATATATATATATATAAAGAGAGAAGGAGAGTCAAAGAAGCTGTATGAAGAGATGTGCTATGCACTGAAACTTACGTTTGATTTCTGACTAACATAATTTATGAATGTTCAAAAGAAATACTTACTTCAATTTTTCACATATTTGATTAAATTCCCTTAGTTTACGGTTAGGTATACTGTCTTTAACAGCTGCTAAACGTCGTTTAGCCTCAACTGGAGGCATATCACGGGGTCTATAACGCTGATGAGCACCAGAACGTTCATTAGCCAACCAATCGCCCAATGTTACAGTACCTTCTAACCATTCAATGACACCACTACGCTGAGCCATTGGTATAACCTAAAGTGAAAGATTGATAGATAATAAAGTGAATATGAAAGAAATTTTACTCACATGTAAGAAAATACAACAGAATAACTATAATCTTACCTTATAAGTGCGTATACGTAGCCCATTATCAGTATCCGACCAGTTAGCACGGTATTTACACTGATTGACTTGAGAAGTTGAATACTTTAAAATGTTAGTTCTATTGTACTTTCCATATTTTGTCAAAAGGCAGTTAGCAGCTGTGAAAACCTTCAAATTAAGCAGACAATTGCAATAAGAAAAGAAAATTAATAAACATTATGTTCAACGAAGGATAGAAAATGGGATGATTAATTGCAAACATTTGTCACTCCCTTCTAGTACATGCGAATTTCTTTTACGTGGAGATACTATTGGTCCTGTAACACTGTTAACAAAACATTTTTAAACTACGATTTCTCAGTTTACTGAAATGCAAAACATATAGAGGGTTATTTAATTGAATTTTAGATTTTTCCGTCGATTGGGTTCGAGCCTCGGTGGGAACATCATCACTCAATGAGGAATGCAGGTACATCCAGATGACGAGTCCCAAATAGGACAAAATGCGCATCCTGGATTCCACTGCTAGTCACCATCCATCAATATAGAGGGTTACATTACTAATCACAAAAAATAAGAGGCTGACTGAGCGTGAGTTTGGAGTGAGCCAAGCACTCTGACATTGGAACTATATATATATATATGTTGTGGTGTGTGTTAAATAATTGCACACTGATAGAAAGCGACCAAAAATCGGAATCAACACTTTAAGTCAGTTGCTGCAAGGGTAAAAGTGTTTATTCCTAAAATCCGTGCTTAGTTTACGTTGTGGTCTGGAAATAATTTCATTGGACAACTTTTCGTCGCTTTGTTTAACCTTGAATCAATCGCCGGCCAATGAGAAGTATGATGTCCACTGACCTATCCGACTTTTAATTTGGTTAAAAACGTATAAATATGATGCGTTTTTCCTAAGTAAGGAAGTCCGTTACCAGTTCTATTATTTTCTGTCGTTACAATACCATTTCACTACACTTCCTTAAATCTATAATTCTTTTTCGAACTAAACTTTAATATTTTTAAAGTAGACAATAAAATAAATGTTTGTCGAAATTGAAAAACACTTAATTACCAATTGGAAAAAAAATGAAATTTACGGAAATGGAAATCAATCTGAATACCCAGCATAAAAAGCTAACACTTAAACAAACCTGTTGCATAACTGCATCTTGTCTTGGATCGTCTTTGCCTTTGACCAGTTGACGATACAATTTGCCATCAGTTCCTAAACAATTAATCACCTTCGGCAAGTTAATCCCACCCACAAGACGAAAATGTGGAGAAAAGCCTTCTACTCGAATTAAACGGGCATGTTGATAACTTCCTGATCTATCAATAGGAATAGTGCAGGTCGGTACGGCAACATGCATTACGGAACACTCTGTATTATAACGAGAAGAAGACCGCCAAACTGGTGCTATTAGCCGATACAATTTGCAATCACTGGGAAGTGGAATATCACCTGAAACAAAAAGAGATACATGCCTCATGACTTCAAATAAAAGTAAAAACACATATCTTTTCAATTAGTCTGAAGTATATTTAATAATAAAAGTCAAACATTGCTGTATCTTTGTTATCTATGTTGTCTAATTGTAGTGTGACGCAGAACAATTGAAGACTTAAATGTCAACTACTAGAATAAACAGGTTTTGTAGTTCACTGAACAAGACATTCTACTTTCTATCATAATTCATGCTCCATTTACATAACTTTGAGCACCTGGAGAATATTCTTCAAGCATAACACAACAAATGGGGCTCACTAATATATTTTTACTCATATGTAACACGGTGATGTGTAATGCAAACAAAAGACTTTGGAAAAGAATGAAGTTATTCTAATTCATCTGTAAACATGAAGCTATAGGAATTATTATATTTATTTATTTTTTTGATTACAGCTTGATGCCACACCGTATTTTCAGTACAAGTATGGAATTTTCAGCATGGATATCGGTAGCCGAAATTTTGCAGGCCGACCATAGATATCGGGTGTGCGTTGGCAGGAGATCGAACCCCGGACCATGTGCATGGTCGGCGAGAGTCCTAACCACTGTGCCACCGACGCACAATTATATACATTTCATATTCCTTGCATATGCATAGTTGGTCATTTTCATGACATGTTCTCTCTTTCTATGCATTCAGCATATATACACTTCGAACAAAAAAAGTGTAACATATTCACACTAACAAAATGAGCTGAAAACATGGATAAGCATATTTTTGAGACTGAAAGTAAGTTGTAACCAATCAATCAGTAAAACAAATATTCACATTGAACACACAAAGAAATTCATATATTACAAAATAACTCAACAAAACTTCCAACAATCTGAGATTATAAGGATACTTAAAAATAAAGGTAGTTCAGCAAAATACAAAACTATCCCATTTCAGAAAGGTTTCACTAAGTTGTTAATTCACTCTTGTTTGAAGTAACAACTACTACTCTAGCATAAGAAATATTTTGAATGACGAGAGAACATTAATAAGAATTTCGAGGAATGTAGACTTGACTAGTTGATGCATCGATCAATTTTCTGACAATCAAAACATATATATAAACATTGAATGGATCCATTACTTTACCTGAGTTCGTTTTATGTTTATCGACATCTGTGTTCGCAAACTCCACATAAGCTTCAGCTAAATACTGCATCTGAGATAAGAGTGTGCTGTGTTCACCAAGGCATAACCGTTGATATAATTGTTTAGCAGCTTGTATGCGACAAGTCAGTTCAGTAGATGACTTGTGAAAAGAAGAAAAAAAGAATAAAAGTGTGACTAATTGATGAAAACATCACCTCTATATTATAAGACAAGGTAAGCAAGATTGTTTATAGAGCTATAAACTTTTGTTATACTGTTAATCTTTCAATATCAGATGAAATGTATTCACTTGCATTACATTATAGTAATTTTTCACTCCACAAATAATGAACTCTAGTAATAAATGCGCAACTCATGACCAGCAGCATTTTTACTACTGCCAACACGCCTAATAAAATTTTTGAAAGTTCATGTTCGATTTATTTACTGTATCTTAACACCGGTGTGTAGTAACTTTGTATAAAGATATTTAGCCTACCACAATATCTTATAGTTTAAATACAAACCTCTCAGAATTAGATAAATACCAAAGTCTGCGTACTAATCAACTTGTTATTATGTGAATGCTAATAATAATACTTCACTATGCTTGGTAAAATGAGTGCCACATGAACTATTTATTTATTTATTTAAACGCAGAAAAACTTGGTACAATATGGCACCAAGAAAGATGCGCCACACAATAATAATAAAACAACATAGATTAAAAGTAAAAATATAAGTAGAAAACGGATTAAGAACTTCATCTGGAAGGAAAACAGTCATGTTTAACAAGTTTAAACAGTATTCGTTAACTATCATCAGGAAGGGAAGAAAGAAGGAAATCGCAACACGTTCGCCATTGATTACGATTCTTGGCCATATCCGATAACGTTTCGAGCCATCGATTCGAGCTATCTCTCGGACCCCAACCAGGGAGTCGTGACACACCAACCGATGCTAATCTAGCACAAATATCCTTCATCCCACGACACCACGTCATGGACTGACCACCCCTCCGCCTTTTCCATCCCGTCCCAGGGCTGGCGAACAGAGACCTGTACGGAAGCCTCTGGGATGACATTCGCAGCACATGTCCAAGCCACCGGAGCCAGTGTTTCCAGATGACGACACTCAATGAATGGTGATCTCCACTGTGTTCAAACACACGCCGCCGAACCTCAGAATTACTCATGCGATGATGACATCGAACACCACATGAACTGACATATATCATCTTAATGTTAACAAACAGTTCCATATGAAAATTTCAGAATTTCAGGTATACAGACTGCAGTCAACTTTCCTTATAAACGTACCACCGGAAGGTTTGTTAGAAATGATTTAAAAAGTGTTTCACAGATTAAGAGGGTACTTTAGTCATAAATGACTTCAAGTTGAAGAAACAAATGAACTGTCTAATTACAAACCATATTATTTTACTAAAATAAATTAGTATTTTTAACTTACAAAGAAGATTATATACGAAGAAATTAAACATCAGAATCGAAAAATGATATGAGGCAACGAGTTCAGGTATATCCGGCAACTCTACCTATGTCCAACCATAGAGTCCCTACTTAGCAAATGGCATTAAGTTTCAGTACAGCCAAGTTAAACTTTAAGCACTGCTACCTATCAACCAACGAGTGACCTTGAACGCAGCAATCACATGAAGGAGGCATTTTTAAGCATGGAATACATATGGATAAGATTTTATTTTGATAAATCACACAGTGTTGTACAGTTAAATTAACTGATGACGTTTCGAGCACAATTTATAGCTCATAATCATATGAAGGTGTTCGAAACGTCATCAGTTAATTTAACTGTACAACACTGTGTGATTTATCAAAATAAAATCTTATCCATTATGGAGTTATACTCTACCACAGTGCCCAAGTTTTATACTTATATCAATAATGGGATACATATATTTATGAAAAAGATGCATAGAAACTATATAAAACTGTTACATAGGATACCTTTCTTTCACATGTGATAAGAACATCTCGCAATTTAGTATAGGAGAAACAATAAAAAAGTTACACCACATCCTACACATTTATTTATCTAAATGATTATAAATGACATCACTTTGCTATCCATTAATGGCTTTAATCCTGTTTTTTAACCTTCCCGCAAAAGCCTTCAGTAGAATTGGTGTGGGTCCTTGTAATGAGATCCACAAAATCATTCGAATGGTTGACTCTGTGGTGAATATATCTAAGGGATGACAAGAGGTTATAACCTTTTCATTCATTGTGTGTATTATAGATCCTTGTTTCACCAGTCGAATGATAATAGGTATTAAAATACTTGACTTTCTGTCTGCTATCCTCTCGACGAATCCTTTCTGTAGAGGTATCGTGTAAACCAATCACCCAAACATTTACTTGTTCTCGATCATGGTTTTATTTTTTCTTTAATAACACAGTTTCATCTATATGTACGACGACACCTCGTCTGAATAAGGAGATAAGCCTCTCCATTTTCCAGGATGCGATATCCCAACAGTGCTGGTACCACTGAACTGTTGGTACGAGACTATTTTCAGTTTCAGCAGCTGCACCTCTCACAGGCTGTTTTAAAACCCAGTAATTGCAAATATACAAAATCTGGGTTAAGGAAAGATGGGATCTGGCAAAAAATGTTCCTACGAAATATTACAATCATCAGCTTACTTTCCCTGACACTAACTTGTCTCAAACGAATTGCACAACGATGCACATGTCCATCAACAGACCTGCTGAAGCTTTTTATGATCATCACACCTCCACATGAACAAATCCTTTTTTTCCTAATCAACCCCACATCTAAGCAATATTGGAAGACTTGATCCTCACCAAATTGCAAACGCAACTGAGTTAGAGAAGATATTTGACTCTAATCGAGCGGAATAGAAGCTTCAACTCACGTGGATGAGACTCATTGGACCATTCAAAGCCATTCACTGATTGGTAGTTAGTGATGTTTAAAGTTTAACTTGACCTACAGTACAATGCTTTATGACACTGCCTAATAGATGACAGTAACTTACTTGTCCGTTCTTTATTACATCAACTGTTTAATTAAATGTGTTTTATAGGCAAACTGAAGTTTATTATTTTTATATTTGATAAAATATTACCTAATGGAGAAGATGTATAGCTCAGGTGGATCAATAGCGACGTAAATCAACAACCAGTCATGACAATGGTTGCCACGAGACATAATTACTTCATTCATGAGGAATTCAAATGAGTTCATCCCACACTAAAACCTGAGCTGGAGATGTTGTCTAGAAGGACAACGAAAGCTTCGCAATTAAATCAAACAGCTCAGAGAACACAACTAATTCGAAATATTACCTAATACTATACAACATACAAATGTTTGAATACACCATTATTACAGAAACTGACTTTACTCACTCCTAGATCATCACTTGGTATTTTCGATGAATTTAAACGGTTTTTACATCGTTGACCAGAAGTTTGACTTATCTCATTAGGCGCATCGTCTAATTTTGCATTGACAAGAAATAGCAAGGTAAACGCTGAGTGATGTGGATGACAATTGACGATCCTTTCTATTAGCTGTATAAGTAAAAAGTACAATAACCAGTAAACTAAAGTAGACACAAAGTTGTTAAACAATAAAATTACATACCTGTTCAAATTGACCTGAATAACAATTAAAAGTCATTCATCAATTTGTCAGTCCCTAATTTAATTGTCAGTAATGAATTAATGAATACAACAGAACAGCTATGGAAGATAGCCATACACTATGTTAGGCATGAACAAGAAACCTTTTGACAGAGAGTGGAATTCAAATCACACTGACAGTAATTATGTGTCGCGCATATAAACAACTATTAGAAAGTAATGAACATATACGGAAATAAGTTTATGACAATCAAAATATTAATGGAAGAAAAGATAGGAATGCATTTAACAACTTTTATATCTTTCTTGCGTTAGTTTAAAAACTGCTTCACTATTTATTTTTTTTAAATATAAAGTTCAAAATCAACCAGTGCTCACTTCGACTTTGAATCATATCCAACATGTTAAGTCGGTTATTACTAATCTATCAGATGGCAGTTGTATTTATATTCCTAAGTAAAATGACATCTGTTTTACTGAGATTCTGAATGACTTCGGATTAATGATAATAATAACAATAATAAGCTAAAAGAATACAGACAGATTTGTCCTAAAATCAATTGGATTTTCGTGAATATATCCCTGAAAAAGGAGTATTATTGAAGAACTTACCTTCATCAAGATATTTTGAAATCCCATTTCACCTTCACAATTAGTAGATAATCGAGCAGCTAACTGTGGTACAAGAGGAAGGAATTTATCTGCACTTATAGCAGACAGTCGTTCTGACATAATCTTATTGATTTTTAAACTTCTGTCCATATAAGTTGAACTGTTTGACGAAAGCCACAGAGATACGAAGCGGAAAATCTAGTGTAACAAATGAAATAGAATAAAGGAAACAAAATATATGAACTTTTAAAGTTTACACGATAAACAGCTAAGCCTAATCTATATACAGTGATGAAAAGTAATACAATTTGTGACACACATTTTGTCCTATACGATATCCATCAGCCGGATGCAAATTCATTCCAGTGAAGGGTACCTTTCGTGCTAAAGCCAACAATCATCGCATCAAACACTGAGGCTACTAAATAACACGCAACTTGACTTGCGTTTCTAGTCATTACATATCATCTAAACAATATCAGTTGTAATAGGCATTATCAAGGGCAATTCAATCTTGTAAATCAACAGGGGCAGAAATAAAATATTTCGTTTATATTCCAGTTCGAATCAACGAGTAGTTGGGACTTTCCATAGCAATACAGCGGTCTATACACATAAGCCTAGATAAAAACTTAAGAATAGTATGACCACGTCGTGACTACTGAGTTAAGCAAAACGATTGGAAGACAATAAATCCGCTTTCTTCAAATGTCGATTCGCCTATTATACGCTAGACAACTTCAATGATTCGACTAGAGATGAATCGCGAAGTTGGTAGGCTTAAAAGACCTTTCCAATTATTCACTGTAACCTACAGATCAGTGAAACGTGGAAATTTTGAGCGGCTAGAAAAACAATGTGTAAACATCAAAGTATCCGAAGTGGGTTGGAAGTGAGCTACAAGGCAGACCTATTCAAGATGAAAAGAACAAGGAAATTCATTTTAAATACAATAAAAATGAACAACTTCAGCTACAGTGAACAAAACATACCAACAAATTATGATCATCAGATAAAGCTAAGCATTGAGCATACGCATTAACTGCAGCTTCCAAAAAGTGATCTGCATCTTCTTTTAATGCACTCAATTCATCAACCTCCAGAGCTGACTGACGTTGAAGTAATCGTAACAATCGACTTAATAAAATAAGGAAAAAGAACTTATTGCGTTTAATAAATAGTGAAATAACACCTAACATGAGGTCAGAAATGCAATATTATTGGCAATAATAATAATAATAAAAATAGCTATATGCTGAAAAGTTTCTTTTAAACATAGTACAGAATTTTCACAATCAGATATTTACTCCTTGGATAGGCTCTTTAAAGTAATGTAATCATCGATAATACATCAAGTGAAGCAGTATTATTTCATTCAAAGCGTGCTCCATCACTCCGTGTAGTTTTTCTTCCATTTCTTTCAAAAACGTTTCAGCAGTAGGTTGAAGCCTTCTTGAAAACGAGTTATGAAGGTAGCTGGAAGGTTAGAACTATAGGACATGTATTTTGATAGATGAAGAAAAATTTTTCCAGTCCAGTGATTCTAGCAGGTCGCCTTAATTCGAACAGTAGTACAGTTACCTATTCTACTAAGTAAATATACACAGTTAAAGTGGTACCAGACACAGAAACTATCTGCGTTCACTTTTAACTTTAATACCAACTTAGAGATTCGGAGTCTCACCAAAACCATATTCAACAGCCTGCTGCAAACTTCCATCAACAGGTGTCTTCGCTCAATACTGAATATCAGATAGTGAGGAAGGATCAGCAACAAAAAACGAATCAACCAAGAACGCATCGCCCGGCAAGTATGCCATAGGAAATAGAGATCAATCAGATACACGCTGAAGGGACTGTTGAGTGATGTGGCGCGCCAGGTCCTCAAGTGAAACTCGATTAGGAGACTACGATTTCGGCGTCTGTGAGTGACATGGAGGAGATGAAAGTCTATGGGGAGTCATGGAGATGTACTGTTGGAACTTCACGTTCCACTCGGAACCCAAAGGAATGATAGTGATAACAGATAATGAATAATTCATTCACACGATAGTTGGACATCACCCGTGGTGATTACTGTGAGATCATGACGAAAATAGCAGTTGGCGCTCACAGTACAGCTGGGGAAGCGCCAGGTTAGCGATTCAGAAACTACTGATTTGAATCTTGCTGCCAGACAGATTTTCATCTCATCTTCAGTTATCATTTATTGCATCAAAAGAAAAAAATACGGTTTAGTAGGCTTTCCACGACACAGGGAATATAAACAACAATAAAACGAAAACTCAACTGATACCTTTTTTCACCTAAATCTGATAAAATAACAACATCTTTTTCAGCTTGTGTAAGGAATTTTTTTCGAGTTGCAAACTCAGGAGAAGTTAGGTAGGAATCTAGTGCAGTAAACTGAGCATCAGAAAATTTAGCCAAATTCATATAAGCATTAGCATCCGGGTTCAGGTTTCGACGTTGTGCCAAATTCATAGCCTAAAAATGAATATCAGTCATGTGATAATTTAACAAGAACAAATCTACTGATAGCAAAACAACACAACTGAAATAAATGCAGAAAAACACCTCCTATGCATATTACTGATACGTGTAAGTAGCTGGGGAAAATTGTAATCAAGTGGATCAGATGGATCATAAGATACGTAGAAAGCTTTATACGACTGAAACCAGAAGTAAATTTCAGATTATTTAGACAAATTATAGGATTCTGAATACTTAAACAAAACAACATAAATTTTCGTACCGGAACTAATCATCATGTTAGGCAGCACACAATGGAAATATTCAGCGTGTTACCTAGAAATCCACTTAAAGATAAGTGGAATAGTAAAATCTACATCCAGATATTGGTAGGAAAAAATGTTGTATTCTATCGAATAGAAAAAAAATATGACACGCAATATGTAGTCACCCGACCAACAAAGGTCAAGTGCAATCAGGGACAGGCGTCTTTGAACCGCTAGATGGTTAGACACGTACATTAGGCGTTAGAAAGTTGTGAAAAATCTAAATATTTAGCAACTGTTATCTTCCTTGTCGGAGGGGTGAAAGTGTCAGGCGAACAATGTAGTAGTCAAGTACAGTCCTACATAAAAAAGGGGCAAACAATAGGGTTGTAAATAAGCACTCTCCACTTTAGGCCATTGTTAATTCCAATGGGAAACGGAAGATGAAATATGATCAAGTTGAAAAGAAGATACAGATGTCACGACCGTGAAACAGAACCAATCCATTTAGTCAGTGGAGTGAAGAGACAACCAAAACAGAAGTTTGGGTCTGACAGAAGATTAAGACACAAATCAACCGCAGTAGTACAGATGCACTTAAATCTTATGATGGATTTGTCTTACTATCGAATATATATATATATATATATATATATTCCTTCACGTTCCCAGTGGAACATAGGGCTTCAAACTACAGGCTTGAAGTTTCTGTAGCAGTGTTTATTTTTACAGGATGGGGTTGCTGGCGTCATGCCCAACCTTTCTCCTCTACCAGCTTTTATTTCTGGCTTAGCGAGGTACAGGAGTGCGTCCGCAGGGGATCGAACCCCGGACGATGTGCATGGTCGGCGAGCGTCCTAACTGCTGTGCCACAGACGCACATCGAATATATATATATATGTCATAATACTTAATATGATGTGGAGATATACGGTCACGTAGTAAAATAGGAGGGTGTACATCTATCAGTAACCTTCAGACGATTGAATTTTAGTATGATTCGTATTCAGATAAGAAATATTTCGTATGAAAGAAAAGGCATCCAGCGAGGAGTTACTCTTTTCGGCTGTACAATCGCATATTATTTTCTTTTATTTTATTATAGCTTGACTCCACACCGTATTTTTGATACAAGAATGAAATTTTCAGCATGTGATATCGGTAGCCCAAATTTTGCAGGCCGACCATTGATATCGGGTGTGCGTCGGCCGGGGATAGAACCCCAGACCATGTGCATGGTCGGCGAGCGTCCTAACCATTGCGCCACCGACGCATATAGTAAGTTATCTTAGTAACAAAAGGAATAGTTAATACAGGGGTCTTCGATGTTTAGAATAATCGAGGACAGATGTAGCCTAGTCTTCTTTCAAAGTGCGAACATACACCACTTCAACATTTATGAGTCTCTAATTGCCTACATCAAGGAAGTGAATGACGTATAAATATTAGAAACAATGGCCCCGTGATGTTGCAACAAACAAAAAACCAAAAGAAATGTATTCAGAATAAATAAAATTAACTCACAGGCTCGATATAATTAGTGAGAAGATCTGCAGCACTTCTAGTTCGAGAATCATACAGCCAATCACATAAAAGAGTTGTGCCATGAATATAACAGTTCATGACACCGGTTAAGAATTCAGATGATTCATCTGTCTCTTCTAGAATCTGAAAGTGAAGACACTTCATTATATGAACACATATAAATTTGGAAATAAAACAGTATTTTAAGGAAAGAAAAATAAAAACATAAGAAATAAGATAGTAGTAAATGTTACAGTATGAAGACCGATATCATAGTCTATCAAATTCAGGGTGATAAACACTGAAAAATTAAGTGTAAACTCAGTATTCTTCATTAATTATAACAAGTACTTCAACATAAAGATAAAGATAGCTTTACCACCCTTAAATATTTCATAAGGATGACGAATATGAACATTTCTGGGCAGATGTAGAAATCGCCAGTACTCAATTCAGAAAGTGACCATAAAATAACTTTTCAATGGAGATGGCAAAATCGAAGGAATCTCGGAGTGAGTGGCAGGAAATTTGCCTTCTGACTGGTTCTAGTAGGTCTACTAGCCATTGGGCAGTGCGATGATAAGGTGAATTAGTCATATCGAGAATGGGTCGAAGAGATATATCTTTTTTGTGCACTTTCGGTAATCCATAAAGTCCGGGGGTATTTGAGCCAGGTGACCTCAGCGTTTCGAAGGCCTAAGAGTCAATAAATGAATCAGTCTTTCCTTTTCAGAGAATATCTGTTAGTTTTTGTTCAATTCGCTCCGTCATGTCCTTTTAATTGGCGGGTTTTGTGAATTTGGACATGTCGGATAGGATGGTCAGCATTTTACCTATGTGGTCTTCACATTAATGGCTACGATTCCTCCACCTTTATCAAGGCGTATCAGAATGATCTGTTTGTTCATTATTAATTCCTTCAGCTCTTTATAGTGCTTTTTGGTTAATATCGACCTCCCATTTGGTTTGGCATTTATAAACTTATGGCAGCTGTCAAGGACTGACGATTTGAATTGTTGCAGGTTTTCTTCAGATGTTGGTAACATATCATATGTTTGATCTATCAGGTTTTCGAACTGAACCTGGAATTGAGGCTTCTGGATACTTGATGGTTTCCTGCAGGATTTTCTACCGAAGGATAGTGCTTCTAGTCTAAGTGTTGACAGTTTGATGTTTGAGAGATTAAATACGTATTTTTCTGGATTGTCTGGGAATGGACGTTCAGTATTACTCGTCGACTTCAGGTTTTTAATTAGATTTGACTTGATCTTATCACATTGTTTCTGTGTGACTTTTTGAACATATTCTTCGATGGATTGTCGTAGTTCTTGATCTAAATCATAGACTGCTTGAAATCGTAAGTCAACGTTTCGGTTAAGTTCAAGGACACGTGATTAGATGGAGTCAATGTTGTTTAGTGTGTGTCTCCTGAGTGTTCTAGTATTCGGATGGATATGATTGCGTTTGAGTGGTTTCCAGTACATCTTTGAATATTCACAATGCATACTTAATACTTTTTAAATACTCCTCAAACTAAGGATTTAGTCTGAGTATGAACAAACCTCAAAGATGGAAAACAAAATGAATAAAGGTGTTGTCTGATTACCAGGCACTTAACATTCGACATCTGAGGGTTATATTCGAAAGAGATGAATAACTTCGCCAAAGATAACTGTACAACGATGAATTAGATTCGAAGGGACTTACGAAAACCTATGAAAATGTCCAGCAGTTTATGCAGTTTACTGATACATTTAGGTAAGTAAGATGTGGACTGTCTCGTCGAGTTCTTCAAGATAACTAAGAACTAATGGCTGGAGACTACTGGTGTTTTACCCCTTCATTTGTATAACATCCCAGGGGCACCTGTGAGACAGCCTATAAAATCATCAACCTTCTAGAACCAAAATAAACTAAATAAAATTATTATTATTAAAAGCTAGCAGAAAATGGCTGGTACTCACCTCCTTCACTGTTTGCAAACCAGATTGTAAACGGTTTACGGATAAATCAAAATCGCCTTGTTGTCGTTCTAAATATGATTTCAATTTTATGCATCTAAGATTTTGCCAGGTGTAATTCATCCCAGATAACTGTTTCGAGTAACTTGTATTGTTGTCTATATTTCGTACAAATTTTTGACAATTAACAGCATCTTCTAGCCAATTCTTTACAAGATGTAAACTAGACGCATTACTTGAAGCAATTTCAGCATAATGCAGGTAAGTATGAACCAGTAAATTACTTAACTCAGCTTTAAAGTTATCAGGAATTATATTCTTTGATAATAGTACACCGATAAAGCCGGTCGATAATGTCAGAAATGGTTCCATTGAATCTAGCATTGTTTGTGAGTTAACTTGAAGCTGGGAATTGTGTGCTGATGAGAAGTTGATAGAATTGAGGGATTGACACAGTAAGGACAATATCAACGCTATATGAAGATTATCATTATCATTATTGTTAGCATGTCCTAGAGTATATCCTATTTGGTTTATAGTATTTAGAAAACTGATCTTCTGTCCACATAGCATAAGTTGTTCCGAGGATAAGAATCGTATTGAGTCAGAATACAAATCTTCAATAAGGAGATCACTAAATAAATTTCAAATAGAAACACACACAAAAATAGAAATGAGGGTATTTGTAGCGAAAAGTCACAAAAATATCTAAATACACATATATCGAAGATGTCTGTGGTAACAAGAAAAGTCTAGACAAATGCATGACAAGCTTCATTTGCTTTTATTAAGACGAAAATGGAATGCTAACCTTTGAGCGGTAACTATTTCTGATATTCGATTCCAATCCGCTTGTGAAGCAGCTTTTAACAGCCAATAAAATGTGGCTTCTAGGCCACAATCCTTCCAATTTGTAGGTGGACAAATCCGGTGAGAATGATTCACACTGTTCATTTCAGTATCCCATCGTCCTAAACGCCATAAGGCCGATGAACGGAGTTCTTGCAGTGCTATATATGACTGTTTGTCACCTAATGCAATTAGAAATATAAAAACCGTGTAGAGAGCATAGTAAATATTAAATTTCACGACAATAAATAATAATTACTATTTCGGTTGGAGGATTGCATCATGAGCTGACATCAGTTAGAGAACCATTGGAAAACCTGGAAGTACTGGACAGCTGTTTCATTCTGGTTTGGGACGCTTCGGCAGTACGCACCAGATGCCAGGGTTCGAATCCAGAATCTTCTGGTTACAAGGCGAGCTCGTAGACCATTAAGCCACTGGGACTGGGGTGCAGCAGGTTGAAGGTGAGGCGGTAACTCATCAAAGAAGACATTGCGAAAAGGTCGCACTATGTCGTGTTTTGACAGAAGTTAGAATTCATGGGATAGCCAGTGGATCGAGTCCTAGTGGCTTAATGGTCTACGAGCTCGCTAGCCTTGTAACCAGAAGGTCCTGGGTTCGAACCCTCTGTGGTGGGTGAGTACTGGTGAAGAGTCCCAAACTAGGTTGACGAAACAGCTGTCCAGTACTCCCTGCAGGTTTTCCAATGGTTCTCTAACCAATGTCAGCTCATGATGAAATCCTCCAACCAATCAAACAAAATCCCCAAACAATACTTAAAAATTACTATTTTATACAGTTAACTAAAGAATAAATGATACAGTCTATAATACAATACAACACTCAACATTACAGTAAACGGTTGTCACAAATACATATAGACATCTGCTTACAAATAATGATTAACTACGATTCTTAGTTACAGATAAGCTTCACATTATTGTTAAACGTAATTATTGTAGTTCCTTTATCATACAGTAGACTTCATTCAATCAGTGTATATTTGATGGCGACATATAGAACCACAGACATGGAAGTACTACGGAAACACACCATTTCAGAGGGACGATGAAGCCAAATGATTATTACATTTCAATGTATCCGAATCATCATCGTGTTACTATTGCTCTGGCTTACAACTACGACACCACCTGGTTTTCAGAGTTACGCAACTGGAACACACTTGTACGTATGATTTAATGCCTAGTGTGATCAGTATTACAAACTCAATATTATTCAACTGGCAGCAAATCTCATGTTCAGCGAAATTTCAACATGTCGTCACTGCTAACATTAGCAGTACTTAACACGTCCAATTTAAATGAGTGACATAATGAAGGCGAAAAACAGGAATGAAAGGAAGCATTAATTTATAGAAAATATTTTTTTAAACTGAGAAGTTTATTATTACCTGATAAGCTAATTGTTTCATCATGACAGAATTTTTCAAACAATCGATTAGCGCCTAAACGCTGTAAGCACACAGCTAATTTAGGATGAATATTTGACGATGAAGAGGTCAACTCTCCATTTAAATCGTGTTTATCGTAACAACTGAGTAAGTAAGTCCAATCACCGAGTAATTCATGAACAGCCAACCTATAGAACAATATAATTAATGCATTTGATAAAAAACTACTCAAATGATATTCCAAAATAATAATAATAATTTGCTTTATTCCAAAACAGTACTTGTGATACAGAATGGAATTCTCAGCATTTTTACTACAGTATTGCATCCAGTTAGTACATTATCAATAAATAGAATTCTACATAGATTAAGGAAATCTCAGTTCATTATGACAACAACATATTGGCATGTCGGTAGCAAAGCCAAAACTGAACAGTGTTTGAAGGTGTTAGAAAAGTAGGTGCTGTCATATTTACTGGCGTAAGCGGAGAAAGAAACAAAGCAGCACATAACGGAAAAGAGAGAGAGAAAAAAGGAAAAGAAAGAAAGAAAATGTTGTACCTATAAATGATATGAGTTGGAAAGACGAGGTCCAGTTGTACTACTGACTATTTAATGAATTATACGTGTCACGCCTAATGCTTTCTTTATCGCACAGAACGCAAGCTAAGTAGGGTATGGTTGAGTTTTTGTACTTGCTGGTGCGAGCATATAGTTTTCTATATAGGCTTCTGGTTTTGCCTGATGAGATGCAAGGGGAGAGTTGTGAGTGAAGAGGGTGGTGTGAGTTAGATAAAATGGATTTAGCCCATTTTTCACATGAGTCCAAGTGCCTGTCAACCAGAATATTAAGAAGCTGGTTAAGAGGCACATTGCTTACCCTGCTGACAACCTTTAACATCCTGCGTAATATGTTATAGTCTTTCTTCAGTAGCCCGGGAAAAACTAAGGGGGAACAATAGAGAATAATAGGCAGAATGCGAGAGTTAACGAATTTTAGGAGTAAGGGTTGGGTTATACCAGAATATTTTAACTTCTTGATGTAGAAGGTAAGACGGAATATTTTCTTAGAAATCGCCAAGATATGAGACGACCAGGAAAGATCAGCAGATAGAATGACGCCTAGGTATTTAATTTCCGACTTGGTTTCTATTTCAGTGCCATCTATATTGCACACCTCGTGAGAGCCAACCAGTTTGTTTAGGTCGGATTTATGCCTAAAGATGAAATTGACTGTTTGGCATTTGGAGGAGTTTAAGGTAAGACCGTTTTCCTTGGACCACTGGCTGAGTAGTGAACATAAAATATCCTTTTCAATAACTTCTTCATAAGGAACTACAGTTATAATAATTGTCAGTGACAATAAATATCATCGAATCGTTGACATTTAAATTGTTAAAAGCATATGCGAATAGACTGTTAATAGATCAAAGTTAGAAAAATGTGTATATGATCATATGCATAAATACAACACTGAATTGATTATCCGATTTCCGAAGTAAATGATCATGAAAAAACAACAATTATGTAGAAACGAATGCTCATGAACAATATTCATATCGAATTTTATTCATAATGATTATAAACTTCAAATGGATGAATGACAATATCAAAAACTGGTGTGGAAGGTTACGTGTGTACATGAGGAAATGAAAAGGCTGTTTGTGCAAGTGCAACAAAAAAGGATGGCGGGGGGTAGATTTCTGAAGAGAGGATACAAAGTCAGACGCAAATGGTATGACATGGTACACCATTTATGTATTTATAGATTCCACAGAAGACCAGGGTAGCAATAGAGCTTGGGCCTGTTTCTTTTGCGAGCAAGGCTCTGGTTCTTTTTAGGGAATTACAATGACCTCTGCTGTTTGGAGCATTCAGTACCCAGAGGGTTTTGGAAATTTATTTTGTACGCGATAAATGATAGAAAAACATTCGTCGATGGCATGGTCTATTTGGACCAAGTGGTCTAATACTGAGCTAGTTTTTACTACACCATTATTTAGTCACATTGGTAGGTTATCCCGAGCACGAAAAATTAGGTTCTTTGGGCAACGGCTAATATAACTGGCTCCATAGGAGCAATAGAACTGATATATACAAGAAGAGTTGTCTAACCCAGGTAATTTGTCTTCCATTTGAAGAATCACAATCGTTTGTGTGGAAAATATGAACTGCAGTTTACTAGTATTAACAGTTCTTTGAATCGATTTTCTTAAATTGTTAGTTACGATGACGGTGTCACTAACACATCTGAGCCACATTTACGGTTTTACTAGACTTGGATACTGAAAGTTCCACATAAAAAGTAACATTAGTCTTAAACAGACTTTTAGCTACAAAATATGTTTACTTATTCATCAATAAGCTTTTTAATTAGCAATTATATTACTAATGTTGGACTGAGATCCTAGGAATCCTAGAGATCAGCGGTTGGAGGGTTACAGTAACATGGCTTAAAATCGATCACAATGACGCCCATAAATTCATTGTATACTCATTAGGTTTCTTTTCGCCTTCCTTTTCTGCGCTGTAGCAACTTGAACTGACGGACTTTCAAGTAATATTTACGTTAGAAAGTCAGTATTATTAAATAGCAATACAGGAAAAGCTGAAAGCTGATTTTACCGAAAACCATTTTTTTGAATGCGTATGGTAATTATACGAGCAAAAGATAGAAATTGAGATTTACAAGGCTCAGCATAAGTCTCCATTCCACTTACTTTGTCTCTTCCAAAATTGGATGAATGTCAAAATGCGAAATCTTATCGTTTATTACTATTTCTGGATTGTTTACAGTAAGAAAAGTCGTCTGAGATGCCATCAAGCCTGATAAATCACCCGAAAGACGACAAAGGTTAACCCAAACACGATGATTAAATTGATTATTTGTGATCCAATCATTAGGAGAGTTGCTACATGGACAGAAAAAAAATAATATGCTGAAGATGCCATGCTTAGTATAAATCATAATTTATAATACAACTGAATAACATGAGTTTCTAGGGTTTATTGGGGGGTTTATATGAGCCTATAGAAGATACTAATTATCGAATCTTTGATTCATAAATTACTGAACTCTCACTTTATTGACAAATCATAAAGGCTTTGTAAAATGATGATAAAACAAGAACAGCTGCGTAGAAATAACTATCTTAAAGTATATATTCTAAATTGTTATTTATAACGATCATAATAAGAAAAGAATAGCGTGTACACACAAATGTTAACGAGGTGACAATGCGACTGACAGTAAACCATCCAAAAGCAATGAGAAGATTGATTATAACATCTACTGTTGTTCATTTAGTCAATATGTAAAAGGAAAAGGTAATACATCACAAATAAATGAAAAGAAACAGTTACGTATAGCTGCAAGTTTCATTCGAAACTAGCCGTCTTATTCGATGTGCAGTAAAGCGTATCCCCTTTAAATTAAAAGTTGATTATAATATTTCAGAATTCAATTTCTTTTATCAACAAGAAATAATTAATAAATTTCATCGAAACTTTGATTGTATTTACACTTAATACTTACTCCGATAACCATGCCAGTTCTAGAAATAGGCGAGCTTCATATGGTCTTTTCAGAGTAGTAGCTCGATCCGCACAAGTTAACCAGTTGATATTTATTGAAGGGCTTAAAATTACATTTTTCCTGAAAAAAAAATCCATAGCAGAAATGGAAAGTTTAAAACAGTGGAGAGAGACAGAGAGACGACAACAGCCTCCAATAACTAAAAGAATATTTAAAAAAGAGGGTATTACGGTATATTTATTATATTATACACAAGTGAGTGAATTGTTCGTCGATCGACTATGACACAACACACAAAGCCCTTAGGTGGTATCCGGAAGGGGAGTTAGGCGATCGAGGGTGACATGGAGAAGATTGTATAAGCAGAAGCTTGTGGGAAACCACGGAGCTAATTGAATGGAAGTGGTGGCAGAGAACCAAGTGCAACGGAGGTGTGCCATTTGAAGCCTTATATTCCCCACGGGAAGCAAGGAATGAACAATAATAGTAATAGTCGAGTATTATACAGCTCATGCTAACGACAGACTAAAAGCTTATGTATCAGACACCAGAAAATTAACAGTTACACTTTCGGTACGTGAACATTTACAGCATTTCCCCCACTGGATGGATGGATTGATTATTTTATTTTATACACATCCATGAATATAAGACAAATGTTCTCATAGGAAGACTTCTACTAACACACAAAAAAGTTTTAACAAGTTTGCATATATACATCAGTTATAAACTCGTTCAAAGCATTAGTAACTAACATTAATATACTCTTAGACAATGAAAGAAAAATGGTGGAAAACCTTTTAATTCAGATGAGTGAATTACGGCCTTCTTAACTATAAAACATAACATATCAGTTTTTTTAATATCATATAGTTCTTAAAAGTCTCAGTTATATTCGATAATTAGCGATGCATGCTTCATTAGGATGATACATTTAGATTACTAAATAATATACACTTAGAAAATATGAAACTAAAACATTTGCCGTTTTTAGTCATAAACAAGTTATCACAAGCTTGGTTAATAGTATTTTCATGAACTGAAGTAGTACTCTAGAAAAGAAAGTTGGTTTATCAGTTGTATTGATAATTAAGATATTGGGTCTTAGGTTGAAAATCAATTAGAAAATGTCTATCATGGTAACTACCCTGATCGTCTGATCCATTGGATGAAATGGTTCAAGGACAGTAGACATTCAAGCCAGATATTTTGAAAATTGCGCAGTTTAGAATAGGAGTCACCAATTTCTTGTGATAAACACTTCCAAATGCCTTCACACAAAATAGAATTAAATTGATGCAAAGTTGTGTCCATTTTCTCATTGGATCCAACTTCAATAAGATAGTTTGCAATCAGCCATGGACAAAGCTTTTCTGTTAGTCTGACCTGGTAGTGAAAAATTAAAGGAATAAACTGAATGTGTAAGTTAAAATGTTGTTGAGAATAAAAATACTAGAATGAAAAATAGCACTTCAATCACGTCACAAACTAATAGTGGAGTCTATTGCATGCCTTTAAAGAACAAGATTCGGATATTCAACACATGTAAAGTCAGTCAGTCCTTCTGTATGCATCAGAACTTGGCCACGAGAAGGATTTCAAACAGGTTGCAGAGTTTCATCAACAACTGCCTCCTTCGCTGGCTCCATACTGAAGATCAAATGGTAGGCCAGAAAGAATAAGCAATACGAAACTCTAGGAACAAACCAACAGGCAAGAGCCGATCGCTCAACAAATATGTAGGAGAAAATGGAGATGGATTGAGCATACGTTGAGGAAACCGTCGAAAGACATCGCGCTCAATGCAGGCCATTGCTCGAGTGGAATCCCAATGGGAAGCGACTAGTGGGTCGTTCGAGAGTGACATGCAGGAGGTCATGAAAGGAGGAGATGAGAGATTATAAGAAATCGTGGACCCATCTGAAGAGGACGGCAGAAAATAGAAGAAAGTGGAGGTGTGTTGTTGAAGCCCTATGTTCCACTCGGAATCCAAGGGAACAATAATGGTAATAATCAATAATAATATTTTCATATCTCTATGTCAACAACATCAGCTTAGATGACGACTACTAGTAAGGGGGATGTAAATGCTGTAAAGCCTGCAGTGCTCTACATCGATGGGGAAAGCAGTGAAAAACACCCAGGAACTGATGCTATTCGTTCACACAACCACTTCCAACTTTCTCCGAAAATGATACTTACCTAAGTTAACACTTTTTACGCCACAGGATAATTTGATAATTTAGATATGATGGAGGTGACGGTGGTTTTCTGACTATCCGAAGTAAGAATATTGCTTATTCACCTCATTGCTTGCCTGAGTAGCCAAACAAACAACCACAACTAAGTCCCTCATACACACTTTCGGCTAGTAAGAAAACTTCTGTGATTTAGTATATTAATTTAAAGTTGATATTCCAATGGAAATTTCAAATATTTACGAAGTAACAAAAAGTAAGAGGGTTAAGAAAATGTATCAAAGCATTTACTTTGAAAAAGATATTGAAGTCAGTCGGTCAGTTTAACTATTAATGTACTCTGGAAAATAAAAAAGGCTGACGAATTACTGCTAAATGCTACTAGCGAATGGGAATTAAATGAAGGCTTATCAGGGGTGCGTAAAGCATACTGACTGATCACTTCTTTTACACTATCAATGTCAAATTTAATTTGTAAAATTACTACACATTATGCGAGCATAACTTACAGAGAATGGTAAAAATGATTTGATGCATAAAATGAATTCATCTTGAATTAAACCTGAGTCTAAAAACAGTAGAACGAATTTATTTAACCATGATTGAAAAGTTGTTTCTTCACGAATTGTCAAACTATTCTCTAAGTATACTCGAAGTTTACTCATCAGCATTGGAAGATTCTCCAAAATCTAAGTGTTTCAAAAGAGTGAAATAGACACCAAGATTTATTAGCAGTCATCAGTATGTTTGTCGTTTTATTCAACGTTATTGAAAAATATGAAAAAATTTCTGAATGACATCAACAAACCTGAAACCATACGTCATGAGTACAATGATTGAATTGGTTCACTTAATTCAGCAGATTGATAAGCCGTCTAACTGTACCATAATTTAAATAAAGACAATAGCATAGTTTTATATTCACTGAAAACTAACACAACATTTCACAAACAACATTAATTCAACTTCCAGAATCCAATCTAATAAGCTAGTGAAATACAGTCACACTACATCCATCATACGGAGACAACAGTTATGTTATTAAAGAGCAATTCAATCTTGTAAAAGAAAACATTGTGTAGTTTAACTGAATTTTAGATTTTCCCGTCGATTGATTGAACTGAAGTGCTCGGTCTCAGGTTGACATGTCGGCTTCTTGTGCAGATGCTTCGACGATGTCTGGGCATTTAATTAGAATTTAATTTGTGGATGGTGACTAGCAGTGGAATCCAGGATGCGCATTTCGTCCTATTTGGGACTCGTCATCTGGATGTACCTGCATTTCTCAGTGAGTGATGATGCTCCCACCGAGGCTCGAACCCAGTGCCTACGGTATGGATAACGCTTTGGCGTTTGAAACTATGGGCACTGGGTTCGAGCCTCGGTGGAGCATCATCACTCACTGAGAAATGCAGGTACATCCAGATGACGAGTCCCAAATAGGACGAAATGCGCATCCTGAATACCATTGATAGTCACCATCCACCAATTGTGTATTTGACAAATGAATTCTTAACAAAACAAATAGTTTATGGAAGACAATTTTAGAGTTTTGTTTATCCAAATAAATTAGCCAATAAAAACCACCGATTAAGGAGTACACGAAGAATATACTAAAGGCGGTTCATGGAATTCAATTCCGTTATAATGACATTCACATCACCGAAGTAATGTGACACCTATCATTTTTCAGACTGCATTAAGTTTGTGACTTCAAATCTACTGCCTGTGTTGTCATAATATATAGGTCATGAATCCATAGGTCTGGAAAACACACTTATATAGCACCATGTTATCATTAAGCCTCCGAATTACAACACACTGAACCAACGAACAGCGTACTTATCAACTGATGAGCTTCTAAAAGTGCAGTTATCTTTATTGATATAAGTATCTTTAGTCTTCTCATATATCTTACGCATGATTATAACAGTCGGTTTACGCAGTTTTAGAAAAGACAAAGTGAATATTTGACTACTTCAAAGAAATATTGAGAATAAGGAAATCGACCTTGTGCAGTTGCGCACTTTCTTCATCAATCATAGAACCCATAAAAACTATGGCAATCAGACAATAAGACGTACATTGAACTGATAGCTTATGCAAAAGAAATCAACTGATTTCAAACCATCGAATTTATGAATGAATAGCATGTCCTTGATTGAATAATTTTTTAAACATTGGAATTTTACCAATTTATCGTCTACTGAACTTAGACAATTATTCCTTAATGCCAACTGACTCAGTTATCAATGTAGAACAAAATTGTAGAAGTTCAGATTGCTACCCATTCATGAACTCATTACTGATGAAATTATCTCCGTTCATGAAACTTGAAATAGCGTGCAACAACGGCCATTATTAATTCAAACCAGACGGATCCGCATTTTCCAATAAATACTCAACTTCAGTTAACAGAACGTCTCAGTGGTTAGTGAGAAATGTAAAATATGCAGTAAAGTTACATATTCAATAAGAGTGTCAGGAGATATCTCAATAGGAAGTCATCCACCATAGGAGCCAGCATCAGTGCATCGTGTCCCAAACTGGCATAATTCCAATTCGAAAAACGAAAGAGAAGAGAGATTGTTTTACTAAGAAAAGAAACTGCTTGAAATGTAAGAGTAAACGGAACTTACTTTCTCTTTTGCTTTTAGGTTTCTAGCTGATGCACAATCAGAAACATTGGTTTTCATATAGGGATCTAAAATAGTCGCAAAATATGCTGGCAAGTCATTTCCATTGGAGTTTTTCAGTAGGGATGTTATAAGGGTAGAACAGCGACTGAATAGATTATGCAGCACATCCGATGCACTTAAACTGGATAATGAACTAGGAATGACGAAAAGATAAGACAACAATTTCGAAGCTAGTGAATACGTTAAACACTTATAATACGCAAATATTGAAAACACATTCACATTTCATAATTCCACAATTGCAGCTGGTACCTGTGACATGTCTCAGTGGAAGTAGTGAGAAGAATTTTAGCTGCCATTTCTCCAGTCAAATGTTACTTGAAAAAGTTAAAGCTGTTTAGTTGATGATTCGTATAAAACGACAAAATCCCTACAAACCAATACTTGAAAATTGGTGCTTACTAGCGACTGGCCCTATTCAGGCAGTGACCTGAGGTTCTAGTGGGAAGCCGTGACCAGTAGGGTACAGCAGGTTGAAGATGAGGCAGTAACTCATCAAAGAAGACATTGCGAAGTGGTCGCGCTATGTTGTGAACTGACAGAAGTTAGAATTCATGGGCTAGCTAGTGGATCGGGTGCCAGTGGCCTAATGGTCTACGAGCTCGCTAGCCTTGTAACCAGAAGGTCTTGGGTTAGAACCCCACTGGTGGGTGCGTACTAGTGAAGAGTCCCAAACTAGGCTGATGAAACAGCTGTCCAGTACTCCCAGGTTTTCCAATGGTTCTGTAACCGATGTCAGCTCATGATGAAATCCTCTAAACAATCAAACAAAATCCCTACAAACCAATACTTGAAAACAACAAATATTTACAATTGAATTCAATAAATGAAATTGAAATAAGAATTAAGACCCAATTATGAAAGAATTAAAAACTATAAGAACATTGATAATTATGATATTTTTTGCAGAGATGTTAACACATAGTACGGTATTTTCAAAGTGTTTAGTTGCAAAAATTCTTCTCCGTACAGGACCTATGGGAAAAACAATGATCTGCAGTACATCATGCAATGCAGTGTTATTCCATATGAAAGCAAATCATTTGAAAATACAAACTTCTAGTAGTGATAAGTATTACATACCAAATGTGAAAATATTTTTTCAAAATATATTACATCTGAACCTTGTTTGGACAGATACAGGAACATTAGAAATTTAAATATGAAACATATGAGCATAATAAAACTTATTTATTTATTTCATATGTAGATAAATTTGCGAAGAATATTGACAACCAAAGTTTAGAGAGAAAAACACAATTTCAAAGCCTGGACCAGAGAATTAATGTAAGTGTAGAACTTGGGCACATTGTGGTGTAGAATGGACCAGAGAACCCTGATTAAAAAGCTAGTGATGAGTGACCAACTGATTGTCAGAAAAAATACAATTAACATAACTGAAATCCAGCATAGAATAAAAGTGTAATGAAGGAAGAAGAACAAGTACAAGCTCTTCTAAGTAATTTATACTTTAAAAAAAACGATATTAGTTAGAAAGCTATAGAAAAACAAACATTGAATATCGGTCTCGTTTAAGTTTCATACTTCTAAATAGTACACTTTCACAACATAATGTGGTTTCAATGCTAGTACATTACACTATTCAGTCACTGATTTAGAATTATATGCATTAATATCTTTCAACTTTCAACAGTCAATAAACTAAACGCAAATCTTCTAACAGTTCATATGATGACACAGAATAACAACACCTATGCTTCTTGTCCAATCGAAAAGACAAATGTTCTTCCAGACCCATTTCTTCAAATTATTAGTGCCTAAACCATAACTTATACAAAAATCCACTGTACTGAATATCATAATGAAGTTTATGTAAGCGAATATATTCGTCATAAGAAAAAGGCGTAAACAGCGAAGGAAACTTTCTTTTCGACGATTCATTTTCATAACCTACTGTACAATCGTAATTATATTTAACAAAGAAATCATAGGGGCAATCAGATACTAGTGAAATTTGTCCTCGGAAAATGTATTACGTAATGTGAGGGGTAACCTAGAAGCGGTGAATATTTGGAATTTGGAAAAGAGACAGAAGTTGGCATGACGTAATAAGTGTGAGATAATGACTGATCAATAAGATCGTGTAGAATGGACAGGAACTAGTGGGAAGGCGATAAAGATAAAGGCGATATAAGATATGTATGAAAAGCAATATTATAATTAAACAGTAATATAGTGGTGGAATTCAAAGGTGACATCGCAGCGGAAATTCCCAGAAATCGCCTTTCTAAATGTCTGAAGAAGACATTTCCAACAGCCACTTTACGTATCACATTCTTCAGCAGACAGTCAATCCAGTCTAACGTTAAGGATAAGATACCGCTTTTGGCCACTTCAGTGTGTATTTATCAATTTACTTGCTCATGCGGAGCAAAGTATATTGGCCGTACGCAACGTCAAGCCCACAAACGTATTCTGTAACACTGTCCAGCTTGGTTAGCCAGAGAAGAAAAGAAAGATAGCAGCAGCTCTATCCACGAACACCTTGTCATCTCTGGACGTCAACCACCCCGACATGAGTGATTCACAGTGCTACAGAGATTTCCTCAATATCGTACAAAGTGACTTTGCATACGCCATCTGTACATCGCTAAATTATTAGCTATTCTGGATTTGAAACCAGACCTCCGCATTCAAAAGCGATGCATACATTCTCTCGCTCTACCGTGGCCAGAGTAACGTTCTTACTATAATTTTGCTTCTTTTATTATGTAAGTTTACTATAATTATTATTATTATTTTATTATCATTACTATTCCCATCATCTATATTTCAGTATTACTCTACTACTGTTTATTAATAACATTGCGTTTTCACACAGATTTTGTATAAAAACAATTTATCATCTTCCCACTAGTTCCTGTCCATTCTACACGATCTTATTGATCAGTCATTATCTCACACTTATTAAGTCATGCCAACTTCTGTCTCTTTTCCAAATTCCAAATATTCACCGCTTCTATGCTACACCTTACATTGCGCAACACATTTTCCGAGGACAAATTTTACCAGTATCTGATTGCCCCTATGATTTCTTTGTTAAATATAATTACGATTGTACAGCAGGTTATGAAAATGAATCGTCGAAAAGAAAATTTCCTTCGCTGTTTACGCCCTTTTCTTATGACTTAATATATTTATGAACCAATGATAACAATTATGAGGAGGAGATTATAGTTTTTGCTTTATTATTTTAGTAAAATAACTTTCACATAATGTGTATAAAATGTGCAAACATTAGGAAAAGCAAAACATACTTCGGAGTATAAGCCTTTTGCATAATAGCTAATAGAATTTGACGTTTAACACAGAACATCGGATCGAAGTTGGCGTCATTCTGAGCATTTTCAGAATACAGACTCCTACTCGCTGGGTCTAATAGATTAAAAGTTGAATGGTGTTGACAGTTTGAGACTTGATTGAAAAAATTGAAACAGTGTAGAGCAGACTTCCTGGCATTACAATTCGAAAGCGACAAGTGTTCTTCAAAACACATTTCACAAGTACACGAATTGAGAAGTTCTTTTAAATTAGCGATTAGGTCATTAGTGTTTAAGAGATCTGAAATGATAAAGAGTGTAAGAGAAATATATCATCTGTTTATCAATAGTACAATGTGCAATATTAACATTTAAATTTTAGGAAAAATAACAAAAACAAAAATAGATAAAAATCCAAGCCAACTAACATATACCTAATATTCCAAGGAACCCAAATGGTCATACAAGTAGGTATTTAGTTGACTAAACATGTAAAATGAACAGAGCGTATAGTCTTAGGAAGGCATGATAACAGACAAAAATCATTGTGTATTTTTCAACACAAATCATTTAGCAATTAATAGGTTACATTTCCTGTTTTCGAGTTAACAGAAGACTTTCGAGAGTGACACGAAGCGACTACTCTTCAAGAGATCTTGAATACATGCGGATCACCAATTCAGACACTGATGTAACAAATGAATTGGAATATTTTATGTACACAATTTCTTGTGAAACCCACTGTGTTCAATCATCAAATGAACTCATTTAGGCGGTTGAGTTGTGCTCAGACTTTCGTTTCATCTTACACAACAGTTATTAGAAATAAAAAACTATTAGCGTAAACACACACACACACACACAAACATACATGCATCTCAGGTCAGGAAGAAAAATGAACAGAACCCAGCCTAATGAGATATTCTATTACTCAAAAATTCTAGGAATATTAACTGTTACTAGATAACCGTCACTCCTGACATTCGTTTGAATTATGCATTTCATCTTAATCAATGCACCATATCTATTAAAATTAGGCATGAAACAGGATCAGTGCGTCGGTGGCACAGAGGTAGAATGCCCACCAACCACGCAGGTGGCCTGGAGTTCGATACCCAGTCGACGCACTCTTTTACCTCGCTAAGCGAGTGATATATTAAAATGAATAAATTAATGCATCGGCATTTGCCATTTTCTTTTGTGTGCCTTGAAGTTTCAGAAGTGATGCTGTCTAGTCTTTGAGAAAAACTAATCCTATTATAGGTTTTTGACTATTCAAATATTAAGATGAATAATGGTGAGTAATTACAACCCAAAGACCGTGTACACGTTTACACATTAGTCCTATGTGCAACATTTGATGTTTACGGTATCATGCTATCAATTAGGTTGTTCGGGATGAAGTACGCGGAAAACGGTTTGAACGGGAGCCCCATGTGCTTAAACTCAGTCGATACATGCAGATAAAGTGAAGTTGCTAATGAGAAGACAAAAATCGGTTATTTAAATCATGAAACCTAACACTAACAGCCTGAAAACTAGAATCAAAAAATAATAATAAAGTATAATGTAATCACCTGTCCCAACTATATATCCACTATCAGCAGCTCGGTGTGTATCGAAACTTGTTAGACCAATATATGAGTATCCGCTTTCTGTGGATTTTTTCATTAGTACAGATTTTATTTCTCCAATTAGTGAATCCAACTTGACAGTAGATTTATAATGTTTATTAAAGCTTAGTATATCCAATGTATTTATCGATATATCTTTGAACGTCTCAATTGGATATAAAAGCAGTTGCGGGAAGTGACAAATCCGATATAACTTCATATCATTCGAAGTTATCCTTAAAATCTGAAAACAAAAATACAAACAACAATGAATTCGGACGAGGAGAAAAAAGTGCGCATTTATGAAATAAACAAAGGTGGCAACTAGTGATATAGTACAACAAAGTATGTGGAGGAAATATGTGCAGTATTCCAACTATCTTGTCGAAAAATAAACTAACTAACTGTTCAACTTAGGGTTAAACTTTCCCCCAGAAAACGAATTACAAGATATATTAGAGTTATTCGACTGGTCTCTCAATCTTATAAGGTAGGCTGGAAACTGTTGTTCTCTGTGGATATCTATTCAGAAGCGAGTGATGAATCCAAAGTCGTTTTGTGATCAGCTCACCATTCATGTCTGCAGAATGCCTGCTCTATCAAATGAAAGAACTGTCTCAAATATTTCGCTGAGTTTGCTACACTGAATACAAGCAGTAAGTACAAGAAACAAATTATTTTTATTGAAAACTCATTAGAAACAATGGTTAATATCTTCTTCTAGAATAATGGATGAATATGGCACAAAGAATAAGACCGAAATTTCAACTAATGGATTAAATTACACAATTAAAACTGTCAGAAACAAGTGAATAAGAGGCCACGAAAACAGGGAAAAAAGATGATAGATACATAAAATATAGTAATAATCACGCAGTCGTTATACTTGTCTGTCACAGACGAATCTCTAGTGGTAGTTAGCAGTAAGTAAACTGTGACTGGTTCATTTGCAAAGAATGTGTTCCACCTATATTTCAGTATCTGTTAGGTATAATGGAAGTACTACTCCTGTGGGGTTCATCAAATCAATAGTTGCCTAGTTCAAGTAATGTTAAAGCATAAATTTCTTAAGTTTGAAATGATATACAATATAACAGAAGCGTTAGACAATATTTCAAACAAACCTGATGGAAACTGTTCTCATCGCTAGGGGATACAGAAGTAATATAGTTTTGATATTCTGCGAAAAATGTGATTGGACATATTTCCGAGGAAACGAAGTGATCAGGAAATGGGAACAACTGACAGTTTGCATTCAGGAATACTGGTGTATCATTACTGACAATTAATTTCAATATAGTTGAAATCTACATAATATATGGAAATAAATTTATGATACAATTAGCAGTTAAGAAAGATAAATAGTAATAGTATTCAAAACTGTTAATAACTTGAACATGCGCAAATCAACTATCTGGCTCTAAAACACAAAATAAACGGGGGAAAAAGATAATCCCATTTGGTACATTCTACTTCTGAAAGCATGAAAACAGAATGCACACGTTGATTTGTAATGTTCAGGATTACTTATCGAAAACAGTGAGTTTTTAGAATTTCATCGTATTGAGGAATGCTTCACCACTTGGGACAAGGCTAGTTTGCATTAGAAATATACCACAATCTGTGTACAAATTGAAGCTGCAGTAATTAATGCAAAATACACTTATTAAAAATCGTAACTTCACCGCATACTGAGATACAGTGCAGAATTATAAAGCCAGAAAGCATTAGGCAGTTGTTTTAATCCAATTAGCGATAACACATTAAAATATATCAGTATATCTGTTGGCTTCTAACTTTTAAATTTCATATCTGTCAATGTTACTGAACATTGAATCGTTTGTTTATTCCAAATGGTCTCTATTTGGTGGGAGACAAGAAGGCTATCGTTGCTTAATCGTATACTGGTTGGCAGAAGATTGGAGAAGTACGATCAGAAGTATTATTGTACACTATATTAACGTTTATTTAGAGACGTTGCCAACAGTAACTTGTAAATCTGTTTTGTTATTGCTGGGAGAATAAACAATCGTATTACCCTACCGGTTTCTGTTGTTCCGCGTCGGTTACTGTGCATAGTATTCTGCGTGTTAGGCACTATCTTATGAGACCAAAGATAGCTTCAGGATCCTTGGGATCTGGACAATCCACAATATCTGATGAAAATGCTGAGCTAAAAGCTGACAATGAAGACTGAAGGCTTCACTTAATTTGTGGAACATTTCGATTGTCTCATAGGGTTTTCAGAGAGAGCACTTGGTAGTGTCTTCAGGTGTGGTCTAAATTCCAGGTTTTCATTAGATCGTCGGGAAAACCTTTGATATCATTCACTAAGAAGGGATGAAAAGTGTTATATAAAAAACCTTTTCCTAAACAACGAAGTAGTCTAGTTTTATGCTGACTAGAAACAAGGTACCTTTAACTGATGCCATTTTCTACAAAGTTACCCAACGATCTGTTTATCTGTAAACTTTGTTAAACCCATTTAGACTCACATAAAACAAGCAAATACATTATTGATTTAACATGATCTTGATTGGATCACTATTTCGTCTTCACATTCTAACATTTTTCAAGTTTACTAAATAGAAACCTGATAATAACTTAGGCAATTTCTTTTCAATTAACTTGTCTAATTATAAAATGAATTAAGTCGAAATTGACAGTAATTTCCACCTCATTCACCATACACAGTACAGTACCAACAGATATACAAATTGTGTTCACTGCGATAGTGACCATAGAAAAATCTGCCAGTTTTACAAAAAGGAATTTTAAGAATTCATTGCGAATACCTACCTTGTTCATAAGTAATTTCATCAGTTCATCATTGTAAGTTGATTGGTGGAGTGGTAGAAACGATTCATTTTTTTGCAACAAGCATTTGACTATAGTATTCAATGTATACACAGTTGAATGATGGATACCAGTTAACAGCTAAAATGGGATTTTGTAGGCATAAAAACATTGAGACGACAACGGATAAGAACATAGCAACGATATCTAAATAGGTTAAGATGATTATCTGTTTATAATTCAGTTTGAGTGGATTAAAACATACAAACAACTTGATTTTTGTTTACATAGAAGAAGCATCAAAGATAGGACTTCAGGTGAACATAGAGAAAACAGAGGTGATGAAAATTCCTGGGCAACACCACCAACAGCAACAACAACTGACAACAATCAGCATAAATGGGAGGAACCTGAAAGAAACAACCTCCTTTACCTACCTGGGAAGCATCGTTTCAACTACAGGCGGAACTGACGAGGATATCAAAGCAAGAATCGGAAAAGCAAGACAAGCTTTCACTACTCTCAAGTCTGTGTGGAGGTCAACAACACTCAGCATCAAAAATAAGATCCGGATTTTCAACTCCAATGTGAAGTCAGTCACTGCTACTATACGGATCAGAGACTTGCACTGCGCGTCATAAAGAGCATCTCAAACAAACTACAGACCTTCATTAACAGTTGTCTTCGCTCAATACTGCTAAAGATCAGATGGCCGGCCAGAAAAGATCAGCAACAGAGATCTCTGACAATGAGCGAACCAACTTAGCAGGAACTGATTGTGAAACAAATAGGCAGGAAGAAATGGAGATGGATTGGCCATACTCTAAGGAAACCATCAAGTGACATCACTAGACAAGCCATTGCTCGAGTGGAACCCGAAAGGGAAGCGGCGAGTTGGTCGTCCAAGGGTGACTTGGAGGAGGACATATGAAGAGGAGATGAAAACGTGTGGGCAGACATGGAGCCAGGTGAAGACTCTAGCAGAGAACCGAACGCAATGGAGACGCACGGCTGAAGCCCTATGTTCCTCTAGGAGTTAAAGGAAACAATAATAATAATAACTGTTCAGTAACCATTGTAATGCTGTAACTGTAACGGAATGTTTATTTGGAATTTAATACCTCCATAAATAGAGAATTATGTACACCTTATCTGAAAATCGTCATTTGTACAGATCTTCAGTGTTGTGCCCTTCGTAATGTGTTTCTTCGTCTTCTTTTCACGCCTCCCATGTTTTGCTGCAATGCTGAATTATTTGCTCTCTTCGACGTCAAGTCTATCACTCCACTATTTGATACTTTTACGCCAATAAAGGTCCTTTTATATACTACTGATAAATCTTGTCAGTAGACACACGCCACAATGCAATATCACAAAGCATTCGCTTAATAATATAGCTGGGAAGAATCATAACTAAGCAATTATTCAACTGTCTTTTACTACTGATCAATATTAGGGAATTAATTAATTCGTGAGCTCAGTTTCATTGACTTATTGTTTCTCACGAAAACATTTCATATTTCACAAAAAAATCTGAGTGGTTATCACTGACGCCAACACGAAAATTAACTCAGTGAATCAATCAACCAATCAAAATAAATGTGAAATAAAAAGATTAGATAGGTTGAAAAGTGGCTTTATATATACATAAGAATTAATCTACCAATTTCATTTCCATCAAAACCACATGCATGATTCATTTTAAAACACATTAATGTACGTGATAAGCAGTTCACTTTCTCAACTGGTGAAGTCAGTCAATCAGTCAAGAAAATATACGCTCAAACAATAACTGAAATTGTCTCATGAACTTGTTTAAAATCAAAAGACAATTATTTCACTGATCAACTAAATAAAATTACAACAAGTAGGAATTACCTTCGGATTATATTTGTCAGTGAGAAATGGACGAATCTTGACGAGGACATAGTGGAGCGAATCAAGAAGTTCACTAAAATGTTCCACACTGAAAAAAAAGAAGAGTCGGAAACAGTGAATCACGCTGTGAATTGAATTTAATGAGGCTTATAAGCTACATGTCTGCACATCCATTGAGTAACAACCTGTTACTAATGTTCAGATAGTTTATGCTAGCGGTATACTGTTTACACCTTAATAGGTGGAGCAAGATTCAGACCTGTGGTCAAGAAGCTGAAATTCGATGCCAACGAGCCTTAGATCTACAGGCTATTATTGTATGAAAGCATTACAGATTGTGTCACTAACAATAAAAGGCATATAATGAGAAAAATTACAAAATGATATTTTCCCTCTGTATGACATATATCAAATTTTAAGGATATTTAGATGAACTACAAAAGAATTCGGTCAAAATGAAATAATATAAACAGACCATCTACTGTCTATCTGAATTGGACTTGTAAAACATTTCCACCTTTCAGTTAGTATAAGTGATTCACTATAGTCTGTATATTAGTTACACATCTCCACGTATATTTTTCATAGTCTATGGGTCACTGTAGAGTAGTATTCAGATGAGGAAGTTTACCCAAATTTTATAATTTTTTCAATTCTGTCTTTACTAATATTTGTCGTTGGTGTTCAATTCCTACCAGGAAATAAATACTTCAAAGACCAACATCATATCTGTGGTGAGAGCTGGCTGCTAGCCAAAGTTGGTAGACAGTAATTGACGTCAATGTTTATGTCCCCAATATTGGTGGTGAGAAAATGAGAATAAAGGCTTTGCGTAGGCGGATACAGTTATCATATGGATGATCGGACACAGCCACAAAGAGATGCAAGGTTAACTTTCTGTGAGAAACAACCAATCAAAAGACTGTATTTTCTACTAACAATAATCTACAATAACGTACACTAAAATCTATAAATATGTGTTGATTTTCCTTAATAAACGATCTGTTGCCTGGCCCTTGTCTTCTGCTGTTACATATCCACAGCCCGAATAACTCATCGGCAACAACTCTGACACAAACTGACCTGTATATTACATGTGAAGTTCATTTATTACACTATAATGCAAATATTTTTAAAGGATTAAGAATATTCAGATGTGCTAGATTGAAATAAAAAACCATTACATTCAAAATGTAAGATAGGTAACAATGTCTTACCGAGTTGTCTCACTACTTAGTAGACTGAGATGTCCAGTTACAAGCAGCCAGAAAGCAAATTGTTGAGTTTGTGATAGTTGTGTTCGGTGGTTGTTTGGCAAAGCCTCATCGAATAATAAATCTATAATAAGTTTGGAGATGGCACACCAGCAAGATAATCGTTTATGATAAGGCTTTAAATGGTAAGATTTAACACTTGTAGACTTCGAGCAAAGAAGCTGTACACCAACTTGATAGAGACGATTGACTAAATCCTGAAAAAGTTTAGTAAAACATTAGAAAATTTCAGCTTTAATCAATTTTGTGCAAAATAAGAATGAAATACAACATATGTTAGCTGAAGGATCTACTGATCATAAAAGGAAATAGGGAGTCACAAATGTATGTACACAGGGAAGGAATGAATTGCAAACATGTCATGAGTTTAACAAGTATATCTTGGGAACGTATTCACATTATTTGCAACTTACAGAAATTTACTGGCTATGCAAATTAACTAAATTATACAGATTTGGTTTCAAGTTACACTGGATGTTTGGAGCCAGAATAAGTGAGCTAATCAGAACTTCAGATTGAACAGTTGGTAAGTGAATGCATAAATGATTAAACTATAGAAATATATATCGACTTAAGACCCAACAAAAAGTAACGAATAGATATATCTTTCAAAATATTATCTGGGTTAATTGTCATTATTCAGGAAAAGTACTCACCGAATCAATTCGATTTTCGCTCAATAGATTATAGACATATTTTAAATGATATTCTCCTGTATTTGAAGTTTGACTGGGAGAAGCCAACGAGGGATCCAGTTGTTCAGAATTCAAGTTGGTATACAATTTGCTTAGTGCTTTTACAAGGATAAACCATGCATATTGATAATACGGTGGAGACTGTGAAGAGTTATCAGCATAATTCTTATCAGGTATATCATAAAGTATGAGGAATTCAAGAACAGACTGAATTATTTTGCACAAATTTCTCGTCTCCGTCAAAGTTGCATGACTCAGCTGAATGCGGTGGACGAAACAAAAAGAGAAAAAGAAAATCACAAGTTGACTAGTAATAGTGAGCTTTGCAATTCGGGATGTTTATTTCATCTTAGTTGCAAATCGTTGGTTGGATGTAAATGCATTTCAGTGAGTTAATGTTGCCACTAATTCTCTAACCTAATCCCTATTGTTTTAAACGTTGAAATGTTATCCACTAGCTTGATGAACCATGAAAGTTATTTCATATTAGATAAGTTTAATTGAAATAACACACGATGTGATGTAGTGGTAACAACTGGACCAATAGAAAAAATAAGATTAGCAGTGAAAATGATAAAAACAACTAATAATATAGAATTCAAAGCCAGTGTAGTACTGCCGTATAAAGAAGGAACATAAGAGACCTCACTTAGGATTCTTAATAAGGCTGGAATTAGAGTGACATTTAAACCAACCAACTCTCTCAGAGATAAACTTTGTCGGCTTAAGAACCCGACAGATCTAATTAAGAAAATAATATGATTTACTAAATACCCTGTTGTAATGACTGTGAAGTCAATTACATACGTCAAACTAGTAGATCGGGGTCAGTTAGATATTCGGAACATAAAAATTTATCTAGACCTAGAATGATTCACCCTGCCAAGTTAAATAACCTAGAAAAGAGCTGTCACTGCATTGCATTTACTTGTGTGTAATCACACAATAGTGCGTCGGTGGTATAGTGGTTAGGACACTCGCCGACCATGCACATGGTCCGGGGTTCGATCCTCGGCCGACACACTCCTTTACCTCGCTAAGCCTGAAATAACGCTGGTGAAGAGGAAAGGTTAGGCATGAGGCTAGCAAACCCATCCTGTAAAATAAGCACTGATACAGAAACTTCAAGCCACTAGCTTGAAGCCCTATATTCCACTGGGGAACGTGAAGGAAATAAAAAAAAAATCACACAATAGAGTAGGACAGGGTTAAAGTATCGCAAAAGTAATATAGTTAAGTGGAGAGAAGGGTTAATCACAGGATCTTTACCGATTAAACACCAAACACGTGCAATCGAAATGTGGCAACGCCTATACCGGAGATATGAAAAATCGCTACAAACAACAAGAGGCAGAGAAAAATATGTAAGGCAAGTTATGAAGCCATATATTATTTCAGATAAACTTATCTAATATGGAATTACTTTCTACCACAGTACCGAAGTTCTACGCTTACATTCATGAAAATTATTTTTAATGGCTATCATAATTGTTAAAGTAGAGAAGAAATTGTACTTTTGGATATGAAATATTAAGGCGAAATATATGGTGACTCCCGCTGAATTTCTACGGAATACATCAAAAGAAAATGTATTCATAAGTATGAAAGCAACAATGCAGCATAGATACAGAATCAGTAAAATGATGGAGAATACTGGTAGCCTATAACTTTAAACCAAAACTCTCTAATTTTCTAAATTCGAACAATACAGCGATCCAGATGTACAAAGACAAGATCAGCTGCACCCAGTTTTCGCAACAGCAACAACAACGGACGAACGTTTCAAGAATCATTGTGCACAGCAAACTGAAATTTAAATAAGTCTTCAAGCATCGAAACCTTGTATCAAAAGTGACATTTGCATCTATGGCAAAAGAATAAACAATGGCACACAGAATCAACAATCCCTCAGAGAACTCAAATAAAGAAACAACTGGTCAGATTTCGGCCTTTTGATAGGCACTCATTATTCGGCTTGCACGATCAGTTCCCATGGCACTTTTTGACTACATAATTATCTCTCGTTCGTTCTGTTGAGATATTACCGTGTGAAATGGTCGAGGGTTCACTATTGCTATTGCTAACCGATTTTTCTGGAAAGATTCAATAACTATATTAGTGTGATAAAAACTAAACTATTATGAGTATTATTACTATAAATACTATAATGTTTGAGGTTCAAATTCTAACCACTCGCATCATCATGATAAAAAAGATAAAATATTGCTAATTAAACTGTCAACTGAATGTATCTATTGAATGAAATTTGCGTGCATTCCTGTAACTACCAAAGAAAGGAGACTTAAGTCAATGCAAGAACTGGCGCGGAATTATGCTCCTTTCCATCCCAAGCAAAATACTAAGCCGCATCATCCTGGAAAGGATCAAACAAGCCTTGGATGAAAAACTTCGACCAGAACAAGCTGGATTCAGGAGTAACAAGTCATGTATTGATCAAATCGCCACACTACGGATCATCATTGAACAAAGTTTGGAATGGCAGTCACCTCTCTATCTCAACTTCATCGACTTTGAAAAGGCCTTCGACAGCGTCGATCGAGAGGTGATTTGGCAACTACTTCGCTACTACGGGGTGCCGCCGACAATTATACATCTCATCCAACAGTTGTATGACAACGCTGCATGCCAAGTAATCCACAACGGGAAGCTCACGGAATCCTTCGAAGTGAAGACAGGAGTAAGACAGGGTTGCCTACTATCGCCAATGATTTTCCTGATTGCAGTAGACTGGATAATGCGACAAACAGCGGGCAATGAGGAAACAGGCATAAAATGGACTCACACAAAGAACTTGGAGGATCTGGACTTCGCCGATGATATATGCCTGATTTCCCACAAACTGGAAGATATGCAAGTGAAAAGTAACAAGTTGGCAGAAGAAGCATCAAAGATAGGACTCCAGGTGAACATAGAAAAAACAGAGGTGATGAAGATCCCTGGCCAACACCAACAACAACAACAGACAGCAATCAGCATAAATGGAAAAAACCTGAAAGAAACTACCTCCTTTACCTACTTGGGAAGCATTGTTTCAACTACAGGCGGAACTGACGAGGATATCAAAGCAAGGATCGGGAAAGCAAGGCAAGCTTTCATTACTCTGAAGTCTGTGTGGAGGACAACATCATTCAGCGTCAAAAATAAGATCGGGATTTTCAACTCCAATGTGAAGTCAGTACTACTATACGGATCAGAGACTTGGCGTGTCACAAAGAGCACCTCAAACAAGCTACAGACCTTCATTAACAGATGTCTTCGCTCAATACTCAAGATCAGATGGCCGGAAAGGATCAGCAACAAAGATCTCTGGGAGCGAACCAACCAGGAACCCATTGTGAAACAAATAGGCAGGAAAAAATGGAGATGGATTGGCCACACTCTGAGGAAACCAGCAAGTGACATCACTAGACAAGCCCTCGAGTGGAACCCGAAAGGGAAGCGGCGAGTTGGTCGTCCAAGGGTGACCTGGAGGAGATCATGTGAAGAGGAGATGAAAGCATGTTGGCAGACCTGGAGCCAGGTGAAAACTCTAGCAGAGAATCGAACGCAATGGAGACACATGGCTGAAGCCCTATGTTCCTCTAGGAACTAAAGGAAATAATAATAATAATACTGTATATAAAAAACTAAGGACAACTTTTAAGAATCACTAAAAACCAACCTCAGGATCATGAAACAATTCAGAGATTATACCGTAAGGCATAAATTTGTTGTTTTCATTCATATCACGCGTGATAGAGTGAATTAGAATAGCTCCCACTAATTCAGGTGTGTGGGATTTCAAATGTGGAATAATAGCGGTTAAATTCTGTAAACCGACCGTGGGCTTATAGAAATTGGTGATGGTTAATGTTGCCAAAACCGGGCCGATTTCCCTGAAAATTAAGACATATACAGTTTAAGTAATTGTCAAAAGAATAGACACTGAACAAAGAGAACTCTTTTCGATAAATTCATCATCAGGTTCTACAATTATATATACATCATAATGAATGAATGAATTAGTCTTATGAACGACATTAATGTTTAAATAACATTGAATCAATAATATTGATAAATTACAGCTGAACAGCATCAACATAAAATAAACTGAATGTCAGAAGAATTAGGAAAGATAATGGTACAAATTCATGAGTTCATAGTCTCTACTGAGGGCCAGGGCAGTAGAAGGGGCTGGACTTGTTTCTTTTGGACACAGAGCGCTGGCTGTTTGAGGCGAATTGCAATAGCCTCTGATGTTTGGAGTAAGCGGTGCTTCGACGATTTTGGTAGTTTGTTAGGCACCCGGTATATTATGGAGAAGGATTCGTCTACGCTGGCTTTGTGACCGGTTTGCACCAGATGGTCTAATATCGAGCTGTTAATACTTTTAACTACACCTTTACTTAACCATACTGGGATATGTTCTCGAGCACGAAAAATCAAGTTCCTAGAGCAACGGCCAACATAACTCGCTCCACATGCGCAGTTGAATTGATAAATACAATTTGAAGTGGCCAGTCTAGGTACTTCATCTTTCAGTCGAGGTAGCACCATCGGTCTTGTAGAGAATAAGATGTGTAGTTCGCCAGCATTAAAAGTCCTTTGAACTGCTTTACTTAATTTCTTTGTAATTAACTCACTTGGTTTATCACCCTTGAATTGTAGTCGTATATAAAGAGGCTTTTTAACCAATTAAGTAATTGTACATGCTAATTAGTAGGGTAAGAGTTTATTACTGAACTGTGAGAAATAACCTGCAGAAACCTGTCCTACCTACGACAATTTTTGGAGCTCCATAGCACTATGACCTCTTAGTCAATATGTGACTTTCAGTATACGAATGAACTCAAAAAGAAAGAATCACAAAGGCCAGTGAGATATATTTGAAATGCGTGATCTAAATAAAATAGCTAAACGAAAAGGAGAGCTTCTTATGATATGACACACTGATTTACTGACATTCATCTTTGGTATACGAAGTATATTAACACTAGTAAGTGAAACGTGGATTTTAAATTCCATTGCCAGAATATTTAGGAGCAACATACGATATCATTAATACCACAAAGTCAACAAGGTGACTGGCAAGCAAACAAGAGTGTAAATTATTTCCCTTAAATACACTGCATAGCTTTTGATCAGGAAACTTGTAGTATCTTTTGTCTCACATGTGTTAAATACAACCATCTTAAATGGTGACTCTAGCTTAACAGATCACACAAAACAGACTTAACATTACAGATATAATAGAGAAGATTTGTAGCTCAGAGGGATGATTTTGGTATGGTTGTGTTCTCTGAGCTGGATGGTTTGGTTGCGAAGCTTTCATTGCCCTACTGAGCAACATCTTCAGCGCATACTTCGATGTGAAGTGAGCTTTAGGAATTTTCTATGAGTTTATTAGTCATCTCTTCTAGTAACCTTGAACGTGATTGGTTGTTTTCGTGTGACATTTCACCCCCTAGTTTGCTTGTCTCGGTGCTGGCTGCTTCTTTGGTCTGAATGTCGTTAGTCATTCCTTCTGCTAACCTTGAACGTGATTGGTTGTTTTTGTGTGACTTCTCACTTTCTAGTTCACTTGTTTTGGTGTTGACTGTTTCCTTGACCTGAAGTTTGACTTTGTTTTTGTGTGAATTTCTTCGTATGGATTGGTATATTTTGTCAATCTCTATGTGTCTATTGATCGCTGATTCATTTGAATACCAGGCCTCTAGGAATTCTCTGGCATTTTTGCAGTTCCCTTTGTCTAAGATTTGAACATTGTCCCAGTCGAATTGGTGCCTGTGGTTGTCTGCATGTAGTGATATGAGGGAGTGTATGTCGTGTCTTTTGACAGCTAGTTTGTGTTCGTGAATGGGAAGACGAAGAGGGCGTCCACTTTGACCAATGTAATGTTTGTCGCAGTCGTTGCAACTTATCTTGTAGATGACGTTAGTTTTGTCTTCTTTTGCCGTTGAGTCCTTTGGTTTATATAGAACTGAGTGTAGTGACTTTGTTGGTTTATGAGCGACATCGATTCCAAAAGGTTTGAATAGTCTTGCAGTGATTTCGGAGATATCTTTTATATATGGTAGGACGACTTTCTTTGTGTTTTCGCTGGTGGCCTTTGATTTGGTTGGTTGAGCTGGGGGTAGATGTCTTTTGATGAAGGCGAATGAAATCCAATGGACCCGTCATACCTCGATTCTACGGCAGACCAAAAATACACAAGCCAAATATACCTCTACGACCAATCGTATCACTCCCAGGAACCCCAACATACAATTTATCCAAAGAACTATACAGAAGACTGAAACACTTGACGAAATCATGTGATCACTCCATCCAATCTGCGACCCAATTTTTAGAGAAAATCAAAGGCATTGAAATAGACAGCCAAGAAATAATGGTATCCTTCGACGTCACGGCATTATATACTTCGATTGGACTAAAACTAGCAAAAGAAACCATGGAACAACTACTCAACAACGACGAACACATACAACAATCAAAAATGCAGCATTCAAGTTGGATGGAATGCATAAACTTGTGTCTCACAACTTATTTCCAATTCAACGGCCAAATGTATGAACAAATTCAAGGGACACCTATGGGATCACCCATATCAGGATTGATTGCGGAAGCCGTCATGCAAAGACTGGAAAACATAATTCTGCCAAAGATCAAACCAAAAATGTGGATACGCTACATAGATGATACATTCGTGATAATCAAAAGAGAAAACTTAGACAATACCCACAACATAATAAACAACACCTTCAACGACATCAAATTCACAAGAGAAGAAGAATATGAAAACAAAATCCCATTTTTAGACGTCTTAATCAAGCGAACAACTACAGGAAAATTAGAAACCCAAGTATACAGAAAACCAACGCACACGGATCAAATACTCAATTACAACAGTAAAAACCCAACATCACACAAAATTAGCTGCATACGTACATTGTTCAAGAGAGCCAGGACTCATTGCAGCACTCCCGCCTTGAGGAAAATTGAAGAAAATCATCTTATGGACGTCTTCCAAAGAAATGGATACCCACGAAACTTCATAAAAAGACATCTACCCCCAGCTCAACCAACCAAATCAAAGGCCACCAGCGAAAACACAAAGAAAGTCGTCCTACCATATATAAAAGATATCTCCGAAATCACTGCAAGACTATTCAAACCTTTTGGAATCGATGTCGCTCATAAACCAACAAAGTCACTACACTCAGTTCTATATAAACCAAAGGACTCAACGGCAAAAGAAGACAAAACTAACGTCATCTACAAGATAAGTTGCAACGACTGCGACAAACATTACATTGGTCAAAGTGGACGCCCTCTTCGTCTTCCCATTCACGAACACAAACTAGCTGTCAAAAGACACGACATACACTCCCTCATATCACTACATGCAGACAACCACAGGCACCAATTCGACTGGGACAATGTTCAAATCTTAGACAAAGGGAACTGCAAAAATGCCAGAGAATTCCTAGAGGCCTGGTATTCAAATGAATCAGCGATCAATAGACACATAGAGATTGACAAAATATACCAATCCATACGAAGAAATTCACACAAAAACAAAGTCAAACTTCAGGTCAAGGAAACAGTCAACACCAAAACAAGTGAACTAGAAAGTGAGAAGTCACACAAAAACAACCAATCACGTTCAAGGTTAGCAGAAGGAATGACTAACGACATTCAGACCAAAGAAGCAGCCAGCACCGAGACAAGCAAACTAGGGGGTGAAATGTCACACGAAAACAACCAATCACGTTCAAGGTTACTAGAAGAGATGACTAATAAACTCATAGAGAATTCGCGAAATATACCCATTAAGACATTGAAATAAGGACAAATTAGTTCAGCGAAGAGTCTCTTTTCGGCGAATTCATTCACTTAGCTGTACAATCGCAAATATATATACAATTATTTTGTGTGTGTGTGTACATTAGGTTTGTCAAAATCAAAATAACAGTTAGTGTGGGTTGTTGATTATATCATCAAGATAATGAAGAAGTTAAAATGTGTGGTTAATACTCAAAGTTGTAACTAAGTGGGGTGAAGATTGGTAAGATGTGAGTAGAGTTACATCATCAAAATAATGAAGAAGTTAAAATGTGTGATTAATACTCAAAGTTGTAACTAAGTGGGGTGAAGATTGGTAAGATGTGAGTAGAGTTACGTAATATGGACATGTTTAGAAAGATTAGATGCTAGTGAAGGAGTTTGGAGACAATTATGAAAATAAACTAGATAATAGGTGAAAAGATAGAATGGGTTAGTTACTAAAAATTGTTATACGAAAATTGCAAAAAAATTTGGTAACAAAATGTTGATGACAAATAAACTTGGAATTAAACCCACGGTAGTAGGAGGGGGTGGAGAAGTTTCTTCTGTGTGCATAACTCAGGCTTTTCCATCCAAATCGCTAAGGCTTCAGCAATACAAAGTATACGAAAGCTTATCGATTTTGGAAGGCTTTTTTTTACTTTATAGATGACTTTGAACGACTTCTCCTTGCAAATCGAATGACCAGTGTTGAGTATATGCTCAATAATGGCGCTCCTTATTGCTCCGTTGTTACCTTTCCGTAGCCAGGCGGGATAGTGTTCTTGAACTCTTTTAGATAAAACACGCATCGAACGACCTATATACCTCGCTCCACAAGAGCAGGTGAATTGGTAGATACACATGGAAGTGGTCAAATGCGATAGTTTATCTTTAGAGTAGTTGAAGAACAATGGCCGGGAGGAAAATGTCAGTCGTAGTGTGGCAGCGAAGAATGTCCTTCTGAGAGCAGTAGATATCCTCTTCTTCAAGGTGTCAGCCAGAAGGTCACCTTTGAAGGGTACATTCATGTAGACCATCTTCTTCTGCACTGTAATGGGTTGTTCTTTGTACGTCTTAGGCTTAATGTGCTTGTCTATAAAACGGGGTGGGTAGCCATTCTCGAGCAGTGTCTTCCTTAAGAGGGCGATCTCTTCCTCTATTGATTCTGGACTACAGATTTTTCGGATTCTAGTCGCCAGAGATATTATCAAATTTCGCTTGCGACTTAATGGTACCCAACTGTAGAAGTTTGTCAATTGACCGTTCCATGTAGGTTTTCTGTGTACTGATCTGTTCAAAGTACCATCGGTCTTCTTACTTAGACGAACGTCCAGAAAGGAGATTGTCTCATTGGTTTCTTCTTCGATTGTAAATTTGATGGCAGGGTGGCAACTATTGAAAACTTGAAGAACAATATTTTGATCACAATTGTGATCGCAGATGACGAAAGTATCATCGACATACCTTTTGTATAAGAAGAATTTGTCGATGGTTGCTTTCAGCGGACCGTTTTCCAAACTTGCCATGAAAATATCAGCCAGCACCGGACCCAAAGGTGATCCCATCGCCACGCCATCTTTTTGTCTATAGAAGTTCCCATTGAATGTGAACTGGACATTTAGGGTACATCTGAGTAGGAGTTCTTTTAGCTTGGTGGTAGGTATTCCAATATCCAGGTTGTTTTCTTCCAAGTATTTGCATAGAAAACAAATCGTCTCAGTGATGGGGACGTTTGTAAAGAGAGACTCGACGTCGAGTGAAATCATACGTTTGTCTCCCACTTTAACATCTTTGATGCAATCGATGAATTCGAAGGTATCCCGGAGGGAATGTTTTGAAATTCGTTCTCTGACCGGTTGTAGGAGTTCTGCTAGCCATTTCGCTATTGGATGATATGGAGATCCCGACATATCCAAAATAGGGCGCAGCGGAAGACCCTGTTTATGAGTTTTTGGCAATCTTCACCCCACATAGTTACAACTTTGAGTATTAATCACACATTTTAACTTCATTATTTTGATGATGTAACTCTACTCACATCTTACCAATCTTCACCCCACTTAGTTACAACTTTGAGTATTAATCACACATTTTAACTTCTTCATTATTTTGATGATGTAACTCTACTCACATCTTACCAATCTTCACCCCACTTAGTTACAACTTTGAGTATTAACCACACATTTTAACTTCTTCATTATCTTGATGATATAATCAACAACCCACACTAACTGTTATTTTGATTTTGACAAACCTAATGTACACACACACAAAATAATTGTATATATATTTGCGATTGTACAGCTAAGTGAATGAATTCGCCGAAAAGAGACTCTTCGCTGAACTAATTTGTTCTTATTTCATAGAGAATTCCAAAAGCTCACTTCACATCGAAGTGTGCGCTGAAGATGTTGCTCAGTAGAGCAATGAAAGCTTCGCAACCAAACCATCCAGCTCAGAGAACACAATCACACCAAAAAAAGACTTAACACTACCCACTATAACCAAAATTTTGGTAATTAGGTCCCCTACTTTTTGCTTACTGTTTGACACTAGCCAACAGAAAACTTCTGGAACAGGAACGACAGCATACTACTCTATACTGACATATTTGCAAAGTGAGCTTTCAAAGGAAAAAAAACAGCAAACACTAGTGGTCCTTGCATACTCAACATAGTAAACATGCGGCTAGTTGAGCAGCAATGCTGACTTTTAGCAACAAGCAACGGATTACATCCACACAAAAATATCCCAGCAACGATTGATAGTAGAAAACGTTTACTGAAGTGGGATGAATGCACTTCACAACCAGGATCATTAGAAAATGTAGGTGCAAAACATACATAAAAGCCCAAACTAGTCAGTGTATACACAAATAGAGACGTAATTGGTTTATTTTCAGACTAGTTTATAAAATCTGTAAACACTGCCGAATGAGATAATTAGATCCAGAGGCATCAGTCGATTAACTACAATATCACACCAAAACAAAAACAGTAAACAACAGCGTTGTGTTGGTTAGATTTGTTGCATATACTAACATGTAGATAACTACAAGGATTATCAACTAATAATCGATTATTGTAGGTTCAAAATGACATTAGAACTATATCCAATATTTTTCAAATAGATTATTATGTCAGTAATAGTAACTTTATAATTTACACTCAAAGCAAATAACTTTCACCTCTAAGCCAAAATTACCACTTACTCTTGAGCATTTTGAAAATCCGAGATCCCCCAGCATTTCCAGGGAAAAATGGCTAGATGTTCAAACAGTTCGAACCCTTCTAAGTTGAAATTCTTCAACCAGCGTTCAAGTACTAGTAGTAATAAAGCTGGCCGAATATGTTCACGGAAATAATCTTCTTTATCTTCGGCCAAAATTTCAGTAAACAGCTTTATATTTTTAAAATAAAAAAATCGGTAGTCTACGATGAAGTTTTCCAACAAATAGAATGGGCAGAAATTCACGGACAGACAATATCAGACAAAACTTATCAAAGCTTTAAAGAGGAGCTACCACTGGCAAGTTGTAAAAACATACGGTCCATCTCGGTCCACCTCTTTGAATTAAGAAAACTTCACCAAAAGCTTCTACCTTAGTGTGGTGGTCAGGCTTTTACACTGCAATCACTCGATGACATATAACCGCTGAGACAACAGTTCCTGAAGATCACAACATGTCAGAAAGTTCAGATGGACAGTGGTTAGACTACAAGCAGTTATCATCATAGTATAAGTTGATGCGGATCTGAGGTCAAAGTCGCAATAGAAGCAGAAATGGATCTATTTTTTCTAAGGTTGGTAGACTGAATTAATAAACTTCACCGCAACATTCTACGTTCGTTTACCTAATTCTATACAACATTCAGTTTCATTATACAGACAGATGGACCCTAGTAATCACGTCATTATTTATTATTATTATTCCCTTGGGTTCCGAGTGGAACATAGGACTTCAACAACACACCTCCACTTTCTTCTATTTTCTGCCGTCCTCTTCAGATGGATCCACGATTTCTCATAATCTCTGATCTTCTCCTCACACGATCTCCTCCATGTCACCGCACCGACAATCCACTCGTCGCTCCTCATTGGCATTCCACTTGAGGGCCTGGCGCGCGATGTCATTTGACGGTTTCCTCAATGTATACCCGATCAATCCATCTCTATCTTCTCCTACATATTTGTTGAGCAATCGGCTCTTAGTTGGTTTGTTCCCAGCCAGAGTTTCTTGTTACTAATTCTTTCTGGCCGCCCGGCCAATTGATCTTCATTATGGAGCTAGTGACGACAGCTGTTGATAAAAGTCTGTCGTGACACACAGTGCAAGTTTCTGACCCATATAGAAGAACTGACTAACTTCACATTTGTGCTGAAAATCCGAATCTAGTTTTTAATGCTGAGTTCAGTGCAGGAGATTTTTAAACTGGTTTCAGGTTGATGAAGGCGTATCTCGCCCCTCCGATTCTGGCTGCCTTTCACATATTCATCCATTCCACCTGTGGTTGATACGATGCTTTCTAGATAAGTGAAGGAAGTAACCTCCCATCAAATCTCTCCCGTTGATGGTGACTGGTGCTGGTTGTTGCTTTTGCGGTTCGTTAGTTATCTTCATTACCTCCGCCTTCACCAGGAGTCCTGTCTTCACTGCCTCCCTCTTCTGCCAGTTTGTTGGTTTTCGCCTGCAAGTCTGCGAGTTTGTGTGACATTAAACATAAATCATCTGCGAAATCCAGATCTCCTAGAGTCTTCTTATAGGTCTAACATATTCCTGTCTTCTCACTCCCTACAGTCTGATGCATAATCCAGTCAACCACATTAAGAGTATCATCGGTAACAACGTCATTATATCAGACTTCATAAAAATATTTATCGATTCCTCTAAACCTCACCTAGACTACTCTATAAATTAATCGATTTCTTAGAAAGTGAGCTTAGGAAATACAAATTCTAGTAGTGGACATATACCGATCAACTTAGGCCTGAGGTTTTGAACTATTGTAGGCCTGCAGGTACGACTTAAACACACGCATGAAACTGATGAAGTCAATAAAAAAATCCAAGTAGGGTATGAGTAAAAAACAATTACCTACCTTAAATATCTGACAACAACCCTCATCATCGTCTTTACTGTAGACTATACTCATCTGAACACAACATGTAGACAAACATTCTAAATTTGGATGCAGCACAGGTTGAATTTCATCTGATAACGATAAAGCTGAAGACCTGTCGTCTTCACTGACAGTACTACTAGACAGAACAGTCAGAAGTTTCAAAATCAAAGAGTATAAATAAACAGTGAAGTTCAAATTATTATTCACATGTGATGCATCGGTTTCCCCTTTCAATGATATAAACTTCAAGGCATTAGATGAAAGCGATTTCAATAATCTTTGGCAGACGTGCAGCACAGCAGATTGATTGGTCTGAGACCAGTACATATCATACGATTTAGTGATCAAGCTATAAATAAGAAAAAAACGTTATTAGTACTGAATAATGATGTCATCACACTGACACGCTAACATGGGGGAATTGTATAAAAGTTTATTGGTTCACTTTGCTACAATAAAATGACAATATAGCTTGCGAAAGTCAATGCAAATGAAGAGAAATTAAGAAAAAATAAGTAAATCAATGGAAGAGAAATAAACGAAGAGTGGAAAACTATTCAAATTAATTATGTATTTGTTGGTTTGAACTCACGTGGAAGAGATTTTTCATTCACCAGGCTATGAATCATACCTATTATTTAGGAGCTGATGATACTACTCAATTGTTGAGGCTAAAGTAGGTGAAGTAGGACTCGAACCAGCTACTTACTGTCTGTATCTCAAGTTCTTTAGCCAATGAGCCTAACTCCACCAGAACAATGATGAGTTGTTATATACAGTTTGCGGTCATTAATCAATAGACTGTAGTAAAGTGACAGTGTTTAAATGAACGGTCTTCATACACTTCAGACTACTTTACTCATTTCGATTAAGCAGCAGACTAGTAAACTTCAGTAACTGGGATGCCGGTAAATATCTTGGAAAGGATTCATAGTTTTAAGTTTGTTACTAGCTAGACAGTTCTAATTAAATAAATAAAAAGACAGACGGATATAACTGTACATTAGATAGGTTTATTTGACATGGCACAGTGATACAGTATTTTTAATTGGATGAAGTATTCAGCCAAACGTATTGTTCATAGCCATAATGAAGTGGTATGCTAGTATGTATGTCTGTCTGTTTTCGACATAGAACTTTGCACATATGTGCGACAGGTCAAGTCGCCACACTCCATGTAGCACACAAAGGAAGAGAAGAAAGTAGGAGAAATGCATAATATAGACAGTAAACAGAGGTGTGAGACAAAGGAATAGTAATAACGAAGAATAAAACAGTTTAACTGTAAATCATAAGTCACAAGGAGTGGATGCATCTGCGCCGGCCATTGAGAACGATTTTGAGCCATGTCACCAATTGTTTCCAACCATTGGTTTTTACCGTCCCGAGGACCGCAACCAGGAAGTCTACACCTTCCTACGTGGCTTAGACTAACTGTTGTAGATTTCATTGACTGGTGCCATGTTTTCGTTTGACCGCCGCTAGCTCTTTTCCAGCCTGACCCTATATCAGCTAACATTGTCCATCGGGGAAGGTGATGCCTAGGCATACGTAACACATGTCCCAACCATCTCAGTCGATGCAATTTCACAGCCTCATTGACTGATTTCCCCTCCTTACCTAGCATTCGACGCCTAACCTCAATAATACTCACCTTATTATACCAATTCACGCGGGAAATAGAACGCAGAGACCTATGATCAAAGACAGCTAGTCTTTTCATGTCTTACGCTCTCAATGGCCAGGTCTCACAGCCATAAAGGAGGACAGAGCGGACTGCTTAGCAGTATAGAATTGTATTTTACCATAGCGTCAGAATTCTACTCTTACATCAGAAATGATTGAAGTTCATTCTATCCTCGTTGGATAATTAATCATCTTTCTCCAATTCATATCGCTTTAACAGTTATGTCTACTGGATCTCTGATCTCCGCAGACGAGACAATCATGGCAACTTATTTTTGTACCCATGATATATGTACACTTGATATTTAAGTAGTATAAATGTATATTATGCTGACGGAATGTATCAAGAAAGTGTACAAATACAAGTGCTATTATTCTATCTATCCCAGAACAGTTTAAAACGGAATCTTAAGGGTTTGTTTGCTATGGTTTCTTGTTTAAATCACCGATGAATTTAAACGAAGTCAGGGGAGAAATGACGTTTAAACATTGTGAATGACCTATTCAATCGAGAAAATTGAACAGTTGAAATAGCCTACATTTCCTAGATGCTAACCAATACATTATATGTTAAATACTAAAAGCATGAACTCAGTAAAGAAAAGCTTGAATACCAGTGGATAAATCGATAACGAAGAAAAGGAAAGCACTAAAATGTTCGCACCAATGATGAAAAGCTGTTTCAACAACACTGACTATTCTCACAAGAGAGAGATGTATTAAATATACCAGCAAACTAGATAGATGGCAGGTGCATGATAAGAATTATTCTTCACATTCTCATCGGATAGATGTAGAATACACACCTTTTGAGGTATTTAAAAAGATTAGTAGCTTGGAAATATATTGAATCAGTTGACTATTTCAAGGTTTCATACTTACAATTTGTACGGTGTAAAATATCGGTGGATCTAGTGAAAAGGAGAAAAGCTTTTAAAAAACCTCTGCAAGTATGAGTGGTGTGTACGTATATGATATTGAATTAAGATTTAAATATTATCCGGTAATTACGTCCCTCTTCTTTATTTGTTGCTAATATGTTGCATTTTTTCTAGCAAGCTAACACAAGTATGAGATGTCATATGAGGTTAATGTTCTAACATCCTGCAAATTCAAATCTCGTAAAGCTAGAACTGTGTACCTGTCATAGAGTTCTGAAACAACATTTGCAAAACGCTAAAATTGATTTGGAAGTTTAAGTGATAAACAAAACCTTGATTGACTTAATTTCCAAGCGCTCGGTTTGCATGGAATTCATTGGTTTCAAGGCATATTTAGTCACGTAGAGACGTTTAGACCACAAATTAAAAACAAACAGAGAAGAATTTAAGATCCATTCCAACGCCTCCCTAGTTTGAAATCCACTCCACCTACTTCAACCTTAGCAATTGGGTAGTATCATCAGCCATTACACAATATGTATAGCTCCTAACCTGGAAAGTGAAATGTCCTTTCGGAGTAATTGAATCAGAAGAAACAGAATTTGTTAGCCACTGAATTCCGATGCAGTGTTTGAATGGTTATATACTCACCGAGTAACCTAAAAACCCTGGGTTTAATGCCTGGTGGGGTCCTGTTGAGAAATTCACAATGAAATTATTCTGTATCTAAACAAAAGACTTTATCAATTGACTATCGCATCATAACCTACACTTTTTGTGTTTGCATGGCGTTTACGAGTCGATCTCTAAATTGTAAACAATACGGTTGTCTAGTGCTAAGCGCTGACTGAAATCTCTTGAGCAAGTATGCACTCGTGGTTCAGGTTTCCTTTAAATCACCAAACTACTCATGTAAAGTGTACTTGCTTCAGATATGTAATTATAATGCGACTAAAATGTATATAAGAGAGGAGAAACGACTCATGATGGAACATAAGAATGAATGGTGCTAAATACCTACATTTCATTTGATTATATATATCTATGGAAATTGGTCAAGAATATTTAAACCGTCTTTTTTAGACATCTACAATCCTAAATAAGCAAATAAATGAATCCTGAACACAATCATCAAGACGATATGGAAAACAATTATAACGACTCGAATAAAAAGCTTACCTTTGAAGAAAGTTTGCTAGTTGAAAGACGCTGGTCGGGGTGATATCCTGCACTGTTGGGGCTAAATAATATTCCACATTAACTGATGTATCAATAATTTGCGCGGAATAAAGCTAAAGAAATTTTCATTTGACAGAAAAGGCAAATGAATGAAAAAAAATGTAAGCTAAGCATTAATACGTAATACTAGTTGACTGGCGCTTATTCGCTGACTGCTAATCAAGATAATTTCATCAACCATTATAGTTCGGGAAATTTAGAATACTCTGCGGTAAACAACATTTGTACCAAAATAATAAAAAAACTCATCATCGTGTAAACAACTATTGAAATATGAATATACTCGACATTTGTACTGTTATTTCTAACACGAGATAGTGATCAAAATACCATATTGTTTCCAAAGTCCCTTAATAAGAAGATTACCAAAACCAGGAAGCGCTGGACATGTTTCATTTTTGTATCGTACTACTCAGCAGTAACCGAGTAATTCAAAGAATGAAGGATTAGTTATTTTTTTAAACTTTTTGTATATTGCAGAAGCTTATGTTCGAGTCATCTGTCAATCTTCAAGTAAGGCAATCTAGTGGTGTAGGGGAATTTCATTGGTGACGTTTAGTAATCGATATTGAAATATATCAGGAATAACAGGGTATAAACGTAATATTACTGTGAAAGGTAATCAATCTGATGGTTTTTAGGTAAAAGAAAACTACATCAGAATAGAGATCTTATGGGAACATAAATGACAAGTCCAATCAATACACCAGAACTGAAAGCAAGTAAGTATACAAACAAACTGTCTACAGGTGAATTCTGTTTTTCTACATGCTAAACGATTAAGGGGATATCCTTCATGTCGTTGTCTTAAGCTGCATTTATCAATCCACATATACCTATTTGAAGCAAGTACATTTGAAAAAGGAAACGAATACTGACCAATATTACCAAGCACCTTCCAGAAAAATAATATCTAAGATAATTGACTTTTTTATAGGACAAATGCAAATAACAAAAGCGATCAACATCCTAAAGAGAATAAAAACCTAATTCTTGCACAGCCTACAAAATGAGAATTCAATCCTATTTGATGAATGTATAGAAGACAGTCGTACAACTTCTACTGTGCTGAAAAACTTCATAAGGTTTATTCATCTTTTCATTAGTTACAATTTATTGATTCAAATATTGTCATGCTTATTTTTAATATTATTACTGCTTCACCTGCGAATTACTGCACCCAGAATAATTTACAAACAATAACATGATTATATCAGCTGAATCTTCTGTTTATTACACAGCTCCAATGTCTACTTATGATGCCAAGCACTTTTTATTTGACCACAGATCTGTAAGATCACAAACTCTTTGTTATCTTACAGCTCCATCATTCATTTGCTAGATCTTAAGGAATAATGTATTCAACTGAAGCGAACATGTGGAATGCAAAGAATTCGAGTGTTTCTTAAAAAACTAAAATTCCTAAGCATAGTAATGCCTACCTACTAAAGGCTAAAATGTACACTTTTCCTAAAGACACGATTAAGTTAACAAAATGATCTAAATTAATTCAATCAAAAAACTCATATATACATTGTTCCCTTCATCAACCAATAACTATAGTGAAATCATTGTAAAGAAAGACATTATAAAAATAGTGAAATAAGATAAACATATCCTTGATAATACTGCTGTACATCATATCAATGGATTGTGTTATTTCATAAACACTCTGACTCACCTTTATCCAAGACTTCAAACAGATAACAGTGGCACCTTGAAATCCAAGCAAAGATTTCTCAAAGAATCTGGCACCTGCAGACCAAGCAGCTTGTAGTATTTTGTTGATATGTTGACCAATCAATTTCCACTGTTCTGTTTCGTCGAGATTTGAAGATGTTTGCTTTTGAATCTGGTACATTAATACCGTACAATCAGAAAACAAGCACAGGCAGCGAACCAACTTGATTATTGGAGAGATACTTATTAGATGACTTGGGAGAGCTAAAAGCGATTTTAGCACTTCACAAATAGGACTGACCATAGAAGTGATAAAGTAGGAAATCACTTCTGAAAGACCACTACTCAGTTTGCAACCATACGTTTTACGGGAAAATGATTTGCACAAACATTGTGATATATGTTCACTCAGTTTGCATAACCATTTAGTGAATTCTTTAAGTTCCAAAACACTTTTTTCGAGTGATTTCTGCAATGACTCATGCATACGTTCTAGTAGAGAGATATTTTCTGTTCGAAGACCAAATAAAAATAAAGCACTAAAGATACGAACTTTTACTGAAAAATAAAACTTCTTTCGCATAAGGATTTCTTGAAAGTTATCTTGAGACTCTGACGAAGTCTCAATAACTGCAGTCTGGTCACTATCACAAAAATCTTCATCCCCAAAAGCGGTTTGCTCTAGCTGACCAGATGAGGTCATAAGTCTCAATGTACTTTCGGTAAAATTCCGTTCACCTGTGTATTTTATCGAGAGTGAAGTGGAAAATTCGATAAGCTCGTCAATATGAGTTGGTACTATGAAAGACAGACCATCTTCTCCAAAGGCTAATACTTCTAATAATATCTCTAAAGATTTTACAAAATTGTCAGTTTTTATACAATTTTTATGAAAATCACCCGTAGATAATTGAACAGAAAAGTCATTGAATTCTTCAGCAATTGACTGTTTTTGCAGAGTAGATATCAAATGATCAAATATCCGTTTTAAAACTTGTCTTATTATCACAGAATAGACAGGTGACAACTCATTTGAATATTTGCATGCACTTTTCAGCAGCCTGCATTTGAACTGTATCAGTGATAATTCTATAGTCAAAAGGGAAACGAAGCTAGGCAGATTGTCATTGGTAACAGGTAAATTTGCATTGAAACAACTGTGAAGTGATATAAATTTTCTAATGTAGTCAATTGCTTTAATATGATCTGCTTTTCCATAGAGGGGTTGTTTCCAATCACACTCTGTATAAGACCAAGGGTTGAAAGAATGAATACTAGATGTGTACTGATTTAATAAACTTTTATATCCCCAAAGAATACCGCCCAATAAATTATTCATTTCAGGTATTTCACTTCTCGTCATTTCATCTGTTATCATATTATCATCAGTATTCCAAATTTTAGCATAATTATTAAGCAGGAATATGATAGCTGGATAGAACAATAAAACATCAGGAATAGTTGGTTGGTTGAAAGCATCACATGGAATTATATGTTTCGGTAGCTTGGAATTAGCACCACATAAAACAATCAAACGAACGCGCCAAGGTGAGTTGTTTAAGTGAGATGCATCTAAATCCAAACAATTTACGAGTGATGAAAATATGCGTAGGCAGATATTAGGCAAATTAGTACATTTAAAATACTTGTTTTTAACTGAATTTTGAAAATACATCAAGTTTGATAGAAGATTGCATACTAATCGGTCACGATTTAAGAATCGATGACCTGATAGTAAACCTTCACGTCTAGAGCTTTGCATACGATTTCTTTGTGTAGAGCACTGTTCAAATAAACTGTAATAAGGAGAAAAAGATGAAATCATAAGTTTGAATTATTGCTTACTGGGAAATAAAATTATAAATTTGACGAAAATGCGGGAAGCTAAAATGTTTTAAACTTCACAAACATTTCATATGGAATCAGCTTTCTCATTAGAAATAATTGATTAGACATGAATACAAATTTACGTGAAACGTTAGCTAACAATCACAATAGAGGAGCTTCAACAAAGTGATCAACGAAGTGATTTCATCAAAGTTGTTCATGTTCGACTAACTAGATTTTTAACTCAAAAATATGCACAGAAGTGCAGCAGTTCAAGGCGTTACACTTCAAAGAAGCGCATATAAAAGTTCTTTTTAAAAAATGTAAACTAACTGTAATGAACGGAAATGTAAGGGAGAAAGAATAGTAACATGGAGAAACATGACGATAAAGGAAATTACAAAGAGTGAATACATCTGCGCCACTGAGAAAAATTTTGTGACATGTCACCAAGTCTCCCTCCAACCATTGATTCGTAGCGCCACAAGGACCCCAACCAGGTAGTCTACACCTCCCTAAATGTTTGGCTCAAAGCAAAAATCAAATATTTTATGGTTTCATGCAGGATTTTGATCTCGCCACCCCTAACTTTTTCAACCTTATCCTATCAGCTAATATTGTTAGTCAAGAAAGGCGGTGGAATTTCCTAGCCATTTCAATCAATGAAGCATCACAACCTTATTGACTGACTTCTCCTGTTTACCTAACACTAAGTCTGACCTCGATATTATTCATCGTAACATATGACTTAAGACAGGCAACAAAATGCAAACACCTATGGCCAAAGACAGTTAGAATCAAATATCTGGCACTGACACGAAACAGGGGTTAGAAACTCGGTTTTTATTCGCTCTGCTGAGTGCTGTGCATCTTCATAACTATTTAAGAATAATTAGTGCATGTATTGCTTTCCTCATCAGATCCAGACTGGATGGTTTAGACATCCTTACCAATCAATGCCACCTATGGTTGAAACGAAGGGGAGAGAAACTACTTCGTTTAGATTCCATCCAATGATGGTGATTGGTGTTTTTTGTTGTTGGCTGCCTTTTCTTTGTTCACCTGGAGTCCTGTCTTCTCTACCTGTTAGTTTTCGATTGTAAATCTTCGAAGCTGTGAGACATGAAACTTAAATTTTCTGGCCTTGGTCCACCTATATGTATAAGGTACCTCTAATCAGGCAATCACTGAAGGCGCAGAAGTCTGCAAAGAGTTCTCCGATCTAATTCATGTCATCAAGCACCTCTCGATTTATGATGAGTTTTCTTCCTGTGTTTTCTGCTCCCAGTTTGCCCTGCATTCATATAACCCTATTGGAATTTCAATACCACCATCTGATTGGGGTTTTGCTCATAACTGGTAGCAACTACTTGTAGGTGTGTAGCGTTGCATCATTTTAACTCTCCATCCTTTTGAGTTGAAGCTTACTGTCATATTCCGGAGTTTGATCCTAAATACTTGAAAGCTTTCGACGCTATTGTCAGCATGATGATGCGTACACCTTCAGTGTGCTTATGGTTGTGATCGCAAGAAGACACACTGACCTACTGGCTTCTGGGGGGGGGGGGGGGGACCGGCTAGTAAACTAGGTGAAATTATGAAAATCAAATGATCTGACTTTTAGTGCTTTTTAGACTACATGGATGAAGAAACAAATTTCTGAGTAGCTTACATCGCAAATCTTCATCAATATTATAATTTTAAGCACATTCCATTAAATGAACTACACTCACCTGATAGCGAATTCCCATAACCCATTAAAAGCTGAGATTGAGCCACTTGACGGTGCTTGTGAACTGAAGCCTTGGTGTATTTCATAATTCAACACAACTACTAAGGTATGTAACATTGTTACTAAACACTCGTTCGCCAATGGCCTGAACAAAAAGAAAATCACACAGTATAAATTACTCAAAACATTCGAGAAAACCACAATATAGTTTACTAAATTGAAATTCCTAAGCGATTGCCAAAACAGTTTTAGTAGATTGTTCAAGATGTTTAAGAAATCTAGATACAAACGTATTGAAATAATCACGGTACAGTATTAGTGGTAGTTAATCATGGAAACTTAAAATCATGTCCTATACCCTAATCAAGCAAATAATGCACTATGCCAAATTTTCGAAATGTACAACGCCAGCAGGCATACACATTACTCCTAGTAATTCATTGAACAAGGAGTTTATGTGTCTCCAGTAGTATTTGGATTTACATCCGCAAGACTATTACTGAATATTATTTTAGAAAATGAATTTTTGATATTTACTAATGTATTGACAAGTGGAAGTCTTTTAGAAACTTAATGTCCCTGGAATATGTGTGTGTAGAACAAAGATGAATTAGTATTGAAAGACAAAATATTCACTAAGTCATGAAGAATACCACTCATTAGTCAAATTTTTTAACAGCTGTTCAGTTTCTTTCATCTTTCAAGTTGAAATGCCTATCAATCAAAGGAAGAGAAATGCTTGGGAGAAATCTATCGAGACTCATTTGTAAAAATAGAAATTCAAAAGACTGAAAACATGTCTTCCAGGACTTTATGTCGGAGGGGTGGAAAAAAACTTACATTCGTTTAACTTTGACCGAAGTGGAGATTTTCTCTAAAAGCGCCTCAATATCAGTGAGTAAATCATACTTTCCACCTTCTGAACGTAGGACTACCGCAGTTTGCCACATCAGTCGAATAATCCAATCAATAATCAGCCACCTGAAACAAGTTATCGAAAAGAAGAATTGAATGGGAAAACATATACGAGTCAGTAGAATACTAAATACAGAAGAGTCAATCAAGTGCACAGACACTTAGTATACCGAATTTAATCTATCCAGTAATGTTTATGTAGCCAGAGTGTTGGTAGCCTCCGTACGACAGTTTGTATTAAAACTTACGAACTTGTATAAATCTTGAAGAACTGTGTCGTTGAGAATATTAGCATGAAAATAGAAGATTCAGTCAGCACCCCACAACCTAAGCCACACATATAAGGTCTCTAAGATATCCCAAAGTCATTGGACACTGAATACGTAATAGAACACTAAACTCTATCATATGCTTAAGACTAAGTAGTGGAACTTATAACCCTGCTATCCGGAAAAGGTCTTACGTGTGCTAGGCTATAAAGCCAGACTTATTATGTGAAGGTTGACAATACTACCTGCCTGCCCAGGTTGCAGTAAGTGAAGAGAAATTCTAATCAGGATCCATAGACTGAAAATCAAGTGGTTAAGTCAATGAGCTGGTAATGAAAGTACCAAAAATATTTGATGTCCTCATATAAAATAACTACTTTCAAATATAGATATTGGTACGCATCGCCACTTCAGTTATACTGTAATCTCAATACTTGTCACCATACAAGTGAGTGTGAGTTCCAAAGAAACAGACACACTAATCCAAGCTGAAATTTGAACAGAAATAAGTCAGTCCAGCTCCCAACTGCATAGAAAGAGAAAGTGAGTATTGACAGAACAAGACAAAAATGAACAAATAAAAAATGAAGGTTAATTGGTGGGAAAATTAAAGCAAATCGATTTTTCGCTGAAATCCTATTATTTAATGAGAAAAATAAAGTCAATATTCGACAAGAGATGTTTACCATAAGCAGCCAAATTTCGTATCATTACTGGCTAGATCCACTAACGTATCCCAGAGTACAACACTTGGCATGAATGGTTCAAAATCTGAAGAATTAATTTCAATACGCGCTTTTTTTCGTTCATTCTGATGTTCTTCAGTGTCGCATATCACTTGTTTACGGAGGAAGTCACTGAAGTCTTTATACTTTATTAAATAAAAATAAAAAATTTAGTGTGTTTTATATTGAAATCTCATAAATGTAGTATGAAAAGAAACGGAAACGATGTGAAAAAACCTACCAAAAGATTTAGATTTCAGTATCATTTTAGTATGTACTACTGACTAATATGGTTAGTTGATATCCACTCATGTCGCATGCTAGCGAAATCAAAGTGGTTTAGAGAGAGGAATTATCGGAGATCTACGTCAGTCTGATGACCGATAACTGTTACCACGACACAGTGGTCGAGCTTGCATATCACAGTGACCCAACGAGCTTCGTTGACTGGACTTATGTTCCTGCAGGTCCAACTATGCCAGGAAGGCTGTTTGGATAGCCGTTATATTTAAAGCAACTACCATCATAGTATCAACTGTATACTCTCTGTTGGGGATCTGTGGGCAAAGTCGTCCTGCTGGTGAATACCAATGCAACAGCAGTAATATTTCTCCCTCAGATGACCAACAAGCCAGAAATGGTGCCTCTCTGCTCGGGGAAGGGGGTTAGAAAAGGCTGTCCCCGAAAACTGTACATCCCAACTTACCTTGCAGTGGTAAAATCGTAATACGGACAAACACCACAGTGTAGGTAGACTGGAAGTAATAAACACACACACTTCCATTAGGACGCAAAATTGTCATTGTAAATACCGTTCCACAGGCAGGTCCCTAGTCTCTTAGCTCTGCGGCCACTAGTGGCAACCAGAGCCGGAAAAACACTATTGATAGTCTCTTAAAACTTTATATTGGAGGATTTGACGCCAGGACTCTTTGCTAAATCACACAATAGGCTTCACTAGTCATCACTCTAGCATCTTGATTTATGGATGGATGTTTTGTTTCGGAGATACGCTTACGAGCGCCTAGTGTGGTGATTCATTTAACTCCACCTAATAAGGTGTACCTGCAAAATTCACCTTTCGGATGTCTCGACATTCTTCGGCTAATTCATGAGGGCTTGCAGGTGTAGGGTTAACTCTGAGTGCTAAGACAGAAAATCCCTACTTGATTCGATCCAAGTATACTGTCACGTGTGTATTTTACGGCTGAACGAGAAAGAAAGATAGCGATACCTGTCGACATCTTTTCATAATCTCCGCTTACACACCAAACAACTGGAGTTCTGATGAAGTGGAGGATGAAGCAAGTCGTTCAGATTTAATCATTTTAGCAAGCTATTTCAATGCCCAAGTAAAGAAACTGTACCAGTTTGAAAAGTAAGTTGATAGCATTTATGGAGTCCCATGTCGACAAACCGACAACGGTGATAGTCTTTTACAGTTCTATTCAGGTAACCATCTGTCCCTAGTCAGTCGTAACTTCAAACATAAAGAGAGGCATTACCTATGATGGCCACCTTCAGCGTAAAATCTATGATGGACTCGAACAGATCACATAGCGATAAGCTATTGACGGAGAGGGTGAATTTTGAAAGTTCGTCGTAATGATCACTTATGTTACCACTGAATGTTTTACTGAATACAGTTGAGATTTTAATGACTGAACGGGAAATTATATTCATAACGAGGATTTAATGGACCAAAAAAGGGAGTTTCGTTCTTGCTTCAGCTATGAAGGTATAGGAAGAATTGCTTTGAAATATTACTAGAGATAAAAGAAAACCAAAGTGAGTGGGACTCTGCATGTGAAGTAAGGTATTTCAACCCATATCTGAGACAGCACATTTCAGTTCTGATTATGCAACTGTCATAAGCATTTCCACCAAGTCGTATACAGAAAATGGTAGCCGTGACAAATTGATAAACTGCCAAGTGTGAATAAGAGCTTTACTAACTAAGCGCCTTAAATCAACAAGTAATTCAACGAGTTTAAATTTTAAAAACTGAAAAACAAACCTCATTATTATAGTCTGTGGAGTTTTTGTAACATTCCACCATCAGAACGGCTGCCAGTAGACTGAAAAAGTCCTTACAGCTGGTAATTGTTTTCCAACAAGTGTCTTCGTTCTGAAAACTTAGTCGGGAAGTAAGTGAATTCAATTCCTGCAGCAAATACTTTAGCAAAACGGTAGAACCTTGACAACTTTGATCAACTGTTGTTGGTTTTCTGAGTAGGTGTCTGTAATGGTGAAAGCTGAATGCCCAACGCCAAACGTAGAATAATTCTTGTTGAGTATTCAAACCACCGTTTTCATGAACAAAGGATAATGAATTAGAATCCACACCAAGTTTAGGAAGATGATCAGGAAGAAAAAATCGATAAGTGTATGTCATTTGAACTGCTTCTGGATGGTACTGTACACTTAGTTTCTTAGATTGTATAGAATTTATATTTGCAATGAAAGATGAAGTTAGGGAAACCATCTCCCATGATGATTCATTTGCCCATGGTTCTGTAAGGAATTCTAAGCACTAAAATTAAAACATTGTTTTCATCAAGCAAAATATATCGATGCACATGTTACTTTACTACTTAAGTTATATTCATGTATCTGATTTGCAACCTCACATACAATTTGAAAGCGTAATTTGCGTAGTCACATGCAATGAACAAAAGTTTTGATATATCTTCACAGTAATTACAAAGGACTATACTTGGTGGAATTAAAGCTTCAAATATGCCCTACAAGAACTGTAGATTACTATTCAATTTGTTCCCGCAACAAATATTTCACAGAAATAAATGAATGAATTCCCACTTTAAACAACTTAGAATAAAGTGTTTACGAACACAGCTAATGAAGTTTGTACCACACCATGTTCTTCTGATAAATCCTTGTGGGAATGAAGTATTAAACCAACCTAAACACAGTCCTCAGTGTTTAATTACAGCAAGCTGCATGAAGTCATTTAATGTGGTTTTGTAGTTAGATGAGACATTTAGTTTCCTAATATATGTTAGTACGGAATAATAGGCTACTGCTTGTCTACTTGGGCATCCCGCTTTCAGTGTATTGACCATCTTTTCAAACTATCTAGAACCATACATCTGGATGGTCAAGTAATATTGTAAAGTGTATGACAAAGTTTATAACCTAGAATATAAAAATGAGTGTCTTCTGAGTGGCATTATTCTTAGTATAACAAGATTCAGAATTATTAACAGTTTTTTTTAATCTTGATCGCACTATCCACTTCCACACTACTGCACACACTTTATATCTACAAGTAGCTTTCTTATTCATTTCTTGCAAACCAACAATCTAACAATATGGTTGAATAACTTGATACAATTTTAAAAAACGGATTAAAACACATTTAAAAACGGCTCAGATACATCCTATTTGTGAATATTGACAAAGAGACGTCAGTACATGACTTCCCACAACTTGATTTTTTCTAACATGTACTGAGTACAATTATTAGTCAAGAGGAGATTATGAAGTGGCACATAGGGACTCAGTCTAGAGAGGCATGTAAATTGGAGATAAAAAGTATGTCCTTCTATTACTTACGTATTTCTAGTTCAGAAGATATATATATATGGTGGTGGGAAATCAGATAATTAAAATAATACTTCTTACGAGTGAGACTTTAAACAATAAGATGTTATTATAAATTCAACTGTAACAGTTGTAAGCCTTTTAATTTCTTCCGATTACTTACGTTATCATGGGTCGGGTAACACTGAGAGACACCTGTTCCTTTTGATTTATTCAGTACATCCAGACTAGCAGTAAACAGATGATTCATTTGTTGATCAAATAACAAGCTCAAAAAACTTGGGACTGTTTGATGAATAACTGCAGCTATTTCTCTCCAATCAGATACATTCGCGTATACATTACTGATCATCCAGCGGAGCATGAAACAAACCCAACCAAGATTTCCGATATACGTATGCTTGGATTCATTAGTGACTGAGTTACACCTACAGAAGAGAACAAGATAAAAGCAAATCACTATATATATATATATATATATATATATATATATAATCCAAGAAATCGAGTTCCAGTGAACAACACCCTACCTGGTGATTCGAGAATAGTATTTTAATCCTTTTCTTAGTTTTAGATGTCCTATTTATATACAAAAGGGCAGAAAAGTTGAGAGGATTTTAGCACGATTAGTTTTTTTAAACACTGCTTAAGAAATTAAATTTTACCACTCTTAAAGAACAAGCAGTGTTAATATTCAAAACGAAATTACTGTCTTTGTTATCAGTTGAGTTTCCCATTTTGTTTGCATGTGACTGCAGTGCCTAACAAATGGATAAACTGCATTGGCATATTTAATAAGAATTAATCTCAGTAAAAGCAATGATATTGGGTGGTCTGAATTCTAAATTATAAACACACTAAATAATACTTATATAGCATTACAAATTCGCCTGATCCGAACGTAAGCTAGTAGTTTAGCTCTGCTGGACTAATGGCTAATGAGATCTCGACAGGGATACAAGGCATTTAGTTGTGCTTCTGCCAAACCGTTGTGTATATAATAGGCAAGATGTCTGGTCCTGAGCTAACGCTTGACTATAATTCTCGCATTGTCTTGTCCTGACCACTCAACATCCAGACCTACGAAGACTTTAGCTTGTATTAATCGCACACTTCTGTAGAACTACCACGTACGTAAAGCACCGAAAATTTGTAAACCTCCATTTTGAAAACAATCAGGTGCAATGTTGGGAATACCTAAACTTGTTGCCTAAACCGAAATCTAAACTATTTACAAAGGCAAAAATCTGCAATGTTTGTTTTCTTTACAAACATTCCATGTTTTATACATTCATAACAATCACAATTTATAAGTATGTTATGACAATTTAGGATAGGTAGTGACTAATTCAGTAGTGAAACTATAGTGAATTGTGATGTACGGAAAGAACAAATACCTGGAGTAGTGAGAATTTAATAGGGTATGGATATCACCAAGAATGGATGCATCTATGTCACGTTACCGAATATTCTCAGTCCTCGGTTTTTAGTGACTCAGAGACCCCAACCAAACAGTCTACATTTCCCTGTGTGACTGGCTCAAACCAACTATCAAAGACTTGACGTATTAATGTTGGGTTTCGATCTAACCACCCTTAACTCTTTTCCAACCTAATCGTATGTCATCCAACAATGATCGTCAAGGCGGGTGGTGGGTAGGCATGAATTACACGGTTATAACCGTGGCCATAAAACACTCTGGAAATTCACAATGAGTCTCAAGAATCAAAGTAGTAATGCCCTACTTATTTAAAGACGACCAGTTTTAAACATAATTTTCACAACAATAACGCGTTTTGCTTGTGTAAACACAGATACGAATTTCAAATGAGAATCAATAACGGATATTACAAAGGAACTTACTTTCTTATAAACTTGACTAATGTGGTTGAGATATGCAGTAACGGTAGCGAAGGTCTTTCGTAACACTGGTGTATTAATAGGCACAACAACCGAGATACCAAGAGCAACGAGCTGTCCAGTTGAGCACAACACCAAAATATAAGATCTTTAATAGCCAGGGAAATTACAGAGACTTACCATCCCGATGTCTGGCATTTAACGTAACCATCCCAATGGGGGCCTCAGACAAAAATACACACAAAACATCTACAAAACTTTGATGAAGAGAAGCAATTCCCTTGTCACGAACAATCTGAAGAAAACACAGAACTAGTTCGTCCAGGGTGAGAGGTTGGCTTCCTAAAGGGAGTGAATTAAACGCTTAGCCGCTCACCTTTAGACCCATATATTGCAATGTTGCGAAGAATCCGGATATATGGAGTCAATTCAGGTGTCACACTGGATTTATTTCTATTAGTGAAACTACCAGAGGAATTAACTTCAAACATAATAACACGGAGAATGCTCTACATTGAATTTTATATATCAATCAGGAATCAAACCTCTAGAATGAAATCCCACGACACAGCATGGAGGGTAGGATTATGGTGCTTTTTATGAGAACAGCTATTGATAATGTCGCGATTTGCCGCTACCTGAAGCACATTCAGAAGCTTGACAGCATTGTTCTGAAATCAATAAAAGACAAAAATAGGTTTTTATTTACCTTTCTATCCTTTTTTGAAGACGATGCAGTGGCGTCTACCAGTCCTCTAATTTTATATCCGTCCATTTTTCTAACTTTTGGTTCACTGGGACTACAAGGAAGACGTGACAATCAATACAGAAAATTAAGCACAGGTCAGGCAAACTATAGCAAACTATAACTTAAGTCACTGTTTCATTAATGAGAAGCATAACACAAAAGACTGTTTAAACACCTTATCAATAATAACGATAATCATCATATAAGAATTACATTAAAGTTCACACAAAGAAAAGAGCTAAGCTGTTTCTGAATACCTGATACCCTCCTTTCAAACTGGATATCCCACGCTTTTGACTGAGCCGCTTGATGAAAACTAATACAGATTCCCCGCATTCAACTTTCAGTTGTTGGGATTGAACTGGGGTTTTATTTGACTTAAATCACGACTTTCATTTGCGAAGAGGTGAATATCACCTTTTAAGATGTGGGTGAAGGCAAAGGTTTAACTTCATCATGCATCCATCTTCTTTTGACTTCACCACTATTATTTATTTTGGTTGAGTCTTATTCATAGTGCTTCACTTTAGTCTGAACTGTTGATAACGGTGTATTATGTCGCCATTGTCAGTGCTTCGTTTGGATGAACTTAAGGTGTATGTTGTGCACTTTTGACCAGAGAAACATTTGAACTACACTTTCTCCCGACGACATCGTTAAGGAATTTTCGCATTACTCATCAGACTCTTTGTTGTAATAGTATCACAGATTTCCCAACGTTGAATTATATTTTGATATTGTCAGAACAAAACTTTCGACTGTTTGAGTCTCACGAGGTTTGGTGGACTATACAGGAGAACTTATCAAATTGTATTGCTCTTATTGACATGTTTTCAATGATCTGTCTCCTAAATTCATGAAGAAACACTTGGTTCTCAGTTATTACAGCTTCCCAAGCTACAATTCACGCATCCCTCCTCGGTATGCTCGCTTATTTACACTGTACGCACGGACAGATACCAGTGTTCGTGTTTTAAGAAGTGATAATTTACGCTTAAGAATCATTTTGATGTGCAGTATTCGTTGTTCATTTGGGCTAGCTTGAATGAGGATGAGAAACTGCAGCGACAATGGACGTTGAGCCTTCGTCCCCATAGTGTATATGATGATCGAATGCACAAGTATTAATATTTTAACTTTAAATGTGACACCTGAGTCATACAAATATTGTTACTTAGCTTTGCAGATGTTGATAGCTGACACAGTGTCGTTACCAAACGCGGATACTAATATCCCTAAAATATTAATATCTGATTATCACACAGGTGTCTCTCACTACATACCCTATCCAAACGAAAGACCATCCCTGACTTCCACCTCACAAACCTACCTGAAGTCTTCCTATGATCCAAAGATATTGGTAAATGAGTCTAAAAACATGTATATAGAGGATACTCACGAATCATTTTATCAAGATGTTGTCCGCTCACTGAAACCACGTAGCCAATGTTTATCTATTATCCTAGTAAATACGAGGTCAGTTCTAAGCAAACACTTAATATTAAGCACATTAGCTTCTATATGCAAACCGTCATTGATTGTGGTCACTGAAGCCTGGTGTACAAGTGATATCTCCAATGTCAACCTAAGGATTGACAAATGCAACCTTTTTCATGAGGAGCGGAACACTAATTTACTGTGAACAATCCTTGTGTGCGACCCAGTTTAGCAACCCAATTCTGTCACAACTCAATGACTCCATCTGGGTCGGAATAAAATTTGTCAGAAGTAAACCTATACTTGTGGGTTGTGTTTACCGACCCACTTCATCCAGCAGGGAGCATGATAATATGCTCAGCATCATTTTTAATGTTACAGCCAATCCTCCCTTCAGTAATAAAATTATCGGAGGTGATTTCAACATGCCAGAAGTATCATGTTCCTCACTCCAAGGACACCAAAGGTATGATAATCTCCTGAATTCCATCGTCATGGGAGGGTGGACACAACACATAAATTCACCCACTAGATCCACAAATATCCTAGACCTTATTTTCACTAACAACATAAAACCATCTACGGTACATGTGGGACGTGAATTTCCAGGTAGTGACCATAAAATAGTAGTGTATTCTTTTAACATCTTTCCTGAAACAAAACGCAGAGATCAAGTTGGCCAGAGAGATTGTACACACAAGCTGACTGGTACTTGTATCAGCACCTAATTAGATGTCCTAATTGGGACTCGTACTTTTCGAACGAGTCCTTAGAGGCAATTCTTAACGACTTTTACCAGATTACTAACTCATTTCATGATGTCATTGCATCTGAGAAGATTCTTAGCTTCAGATTCCCCCAAAGCGGTTATATTCCGACTTCGTTTAGGAGAAGTTTACGAAAGCACTCAATAAAATACTACAGATATCATGACTTGTCATCATTAATGGCTATTACATCCGTTCTCACTAGAATTCAAGAGTCGAAGAATATTAGCCTCAGAAACAACGAAATGTGGGCCATTCTGCCACCGCATAACCCAGGATGAATAACCGAACTTTTCAAAAGTAGGTTTACGAACTCCAAAACAGCTTATCCGAAAGTAATATACTAAGACGGCATTGCCTACGAAAATAGTGAGGTGATATGTGAACTGTTTAGCAAGCACTACGCCAGACTATACACCTTAGAGAAAGTTTCCAGAGGTTCCTCACAAAACGCATAATAGGGTTGGACCAACAAGTGGAATATGTTGACAGGTGTATACGTCTGAAATTAGAATCTCTGTGGTTAAGGAGAGTGCAACTTATTTCTACTCTTCGAAGTCATTAAGAAACATTATTATAGTAACTCATCCATAACGTGAGAAAATATCAAATCATATCAGCTGCGAAACCACGACTACCTTGTCAAGGTGGCTACCCACAGAAAATCCATTAGGGCAAACTTTTTCACCATTAAATATTGCACTCTTTGGAACCAACTACCATCTGAAATAAGATGTTGTGAAAACCCAGATAGGTTCAAACGGAGCCTACAAAGACACATTAACATGTCCACTCTAGCTCGTCTAAAAGACCTTTCACCGCACTCTGCGTCTTCTTCTTTCTCTCTCTGTGACCGTGTGGATTATCTGTTACACCCAAATAACGTGGAAATAATTTTTCACATTCTGAAATATCGCGGTCTATATCTGACTACTATACAATTATAACTGATATTGGTTGCACCTCCGGTAGCTAAATATCCAAATTTATCACAGCCAGAATACTGTTTGGATCCAGTCGAATTTGTGTGAATAAAGAGCAATCTATAGAGAAGTCCTGAGTTTTGTGGTCTATAACTATCAGAGTTAACTCGTTTGATAGTGGTCTATTTTTAGTTTGTATTTTTTACATTCATACCCGTTTATTGTTGTTTTATCTATTTAGATAATATAATAGCATTTCACACTCTTTCATCAGTTTTTGAGAAATTGATATTATATTTACCTTCATAATGGTGAAAGTTGTTAAACGAGTTAGTACTGCTAAGAGACTAGCATCAAATAGTCAGCAGCTCACTAAAAGCATTAGTGCTGATGACGAATTTGCACTTAGATCAATCGGTGAACCGAGAGTTATAGTACCTAACTTAGTGGGATAACTAACTGATAAGGTAGCCCGTAACACTAGCGATTTACAGATCATTCAGAAATCCATATCAGAGCTGCAGGATAAATTTGAAAGTATCACTCCTTTCATCCAACTTTGTGGTCCATCACAAGAAATTTGCTTAGATTCACTTTTCAAATCTGAGCGCCTGCTAGACATTTTGACTGCAGAGGCTGTAAAGAGGGTGATGTCGTCATATAATGTCTTAGGATATAACATACCAGACAATGTCCCCATTGTCAAACTTAAAGCCGTCTGTCTACAGGCGTGTAACATCTCATTATCTGACTGCCAGGTTCTGCGTCTTCGCAAGAAATCTGCAAACCACCCATGCCCTGTACTCTTCAAATTTAAATCTGTTGACCTAGTTAAGAAATTTTTAGAGTTTGGTAAACTTCTTGGCTCCTCAACACCTTACACCAATATCAGGATTGCACCTGATTAGACGATAAGACGATGCCGGGCAGAAAAACTAAATGAAGATAACCCCAAAAAGACAGGCGTTGTTAATACCCCCCTCGTTGGATTGCCCAATGGCCGAGAGCACCAGTTAATATAGCATACACAAACTAACGGTAGTCAAGTAACTGTTGAAGATACAGTTCTAAATACTGAAATCGCATACATAGAAATCTCAGCAGATCATAGTATTGACGTGGATCTCTTGCACACTGACACGAATGCCATACCCTCGAAAACGTCTAAGCTGAATTCAGTCGTATACTCTGAATCTCTCCAGAAGTCATATACCGCACAACGTCGTAGCCCGGCTACTGTTAAGCAACAATCACATGTGGCCACCCAGGTTGGCGTAAATTCAAGGCGATATGATAAGCGTCCTATTTCCGTCAGGAACACCAAAAGAACTGTTGAGAATATTCAACAGAAATCCAGTTTATCAGGTAATCCTACTAGTCACCAACAGCCCAAATTACACAAGCCGACTTATATGGAAAAACCTAAACCAAACGCTAGATCCGGAACACTAAAGCCCACAAGTACGAAAGTTTCAAAAGGGTCACCGTTTCATTCTACTGATGGACAGTTATCTAAACTTAGTCATGTTACTCAAGTTAGACATAATCCACATACCATAGGGGCTTACTCATTTCCGACTACCACTGCCAGTCCTATGACAACAAAAACAATCGTT